GTTGGCAAGAGTTAACAAAATTGTCAAAAATCCATGCTGGTGAGCATGCAGGGAATAGATATTCCCTGATCTGACATTGCTGATGGGGGTGTGGACTGCTTCTTAGGGAAGTATCTGCTGGAGTCTCTTGACATTTAAAATACGCATGCCCGTTGTTCTGCCTTCTGCTTTTGGGATTCTCTCCGACAGAAATAAAAGCAGCTGCATCAGAGGAAATGTCTACAAGGATTTTATGAAGCATTGTTGATAGGGGGCAAAAACCCAGAAGCCTAGCAAGTGCCCCCCAATGCAGGAGTGTTGGCAAAGTTACAGTGCCTTTCTTTGTCCAACAGAATATTAAGCAACTATTATAAAAAATGACTTGAAACTTAAATGTCCTGGCATAAGGGACACCCATAAAATGTTGATTTTTTTTAAATGCAAGTTACAAAATAACATCAATATTGTCTGTTTTTATTTTTTTTTAGATTACTTATTTATTTAGTTGACAGAGAGGGACACAGCAAGAGAGGGAACACAAGCAGAGGGAGTGGGAGAAGCAGGCTTCCTGCAGAGCACGGAGCCCGATGCAGGGCTCGATCCCAGGACCCTGGGATCATGACCTGAGCCGAAGGCAGACGCTTAACGCCTGAACCACCCAGGTGCCCCACGAGTCTGTTTTTTATAAAAATTTACTGAAATCAAAGTTGGGATACCTGTATGCATATATTTGCATACACCTGCTCTTAACTGGTTGTCTGGGGCAGGGCAGGGGCAGCATAGAGAGGTGGTGGGTCCTTAGAAAGGGGTAGGAGGGCAGAATGAATTTCATCATTTATTGAATTGGATTTCAGACTTCAACAGCCATTCTTTCTGCCCTTCCAATAACAAAAGAAACAAACGAATGATATCATGTGTAAAAACGCACACTGTGACCCCTTTCCCACCTTGCTCCTTGCTCTGGCCCAAGCAATCCCACTTCCTGGTTCACGACCATGAAGGTCATGGTTATATGTCAACTTGGCTGGGCTATAGTCCCTGGTTGTTCCATCAAGCATTGAGTTAGTGGTTGCCATGAAGGAATTTTGTAGATGTGATGACGGTCATGGTTATATGTCAACTTGGCTGGGCTATAGTCCCTGGTTGTTCCATCAACCATTGAGCTAGTGGTTGCCATGAAGGAATTTTGTAGATGTGATTAAAGTCCATAATGAGTTGATTTCAAGCAAATGAGACTATCCTGGTTCATCTAGGTAGTCCTGAACCAATCTGTTGAAAGGCTTTAAGAGCAGAGCTGACACTTCCCCAAAGAAGAAATTCTACTTGTGATGGCTCATGCCCAAGACTTTTCCCCCAGCCTGCCCTCTGGGTTTTGGATTCGCCCAACCAGGCCCCACAGTCTTGTAAATCCCCTCCTTGCAATACATCTCTGAATCTCGATCTCCTCCTGGTTTTTCTTCTGGTTGAACGCTGGCTGACACCACACCCTAGGAAAATTTGTTTGCACACGTACCAGGAGACGTGTAAAAAGGTGTCATTGGTAGCAGCAACCCCGAGAACAGCCCACATAGAGCCATCAACAGAAAAATGTCCCATAAACCCTGGCCCAGTCATGCAATGATGATGACATGGAGCTGAAAATGCATGAATTGAAGGTACATGGCACAACAGGGATGAAGGCCATGAACAGGATGGTATAGGAAAGAAGTTGCCGAAGAATATAAAAAATACTGTTCAATTTCCATAGAGTTCAAAGACAGGCAGAACAAAAGAAGTCATTGCTTAGGAATACTTATATAGTGATAAATGTATATATGTACATGTAATGTATATATAACATGCATTATAACATAACATATTTATGTATACATAATATGTAACAATATATAATACCCTATGTTGTTATGTGTGTCAAATAAAATACATTAGAAATAAGACATATACATTCTCTACATATTTCATATATATATGAAACAAAAGAAAGTTTTATACATACGATGGAAGAATGATTTACACAATCATCAAGTTGATGGTGATTTCAGAGACTCCTAAGGTGCTGATAAAGTTCTGTTTTTTAACCTGAATGGAGGGTATTTATGTGTTTATTTTATTATTTTAACTGTAAATAAATAGCTATTTTTGCCCTATTTTGCATATAAAATATAGTCCACAATAACACATCTTAAAAGGGTGCCTGGGTGGTTCAGTCGGTTAAGCACCTGACTCTTGATTTCGGGGTCATGAGATCAAGCCCCGTGTCCAGCTCTGCACTGAGCGTGGAGTCTGCTTCAGATTCTCTCTCTCTCTCTCTCTCTCTCTCTCTCTCCCTCTGCCCCTCCCCCACTCAACGTCTCTCTAAAAAATGAAAATAAATTTTAAACATTTTTAAAAATCAAGCAAGCAAATAAATTATAAGCCTCCATTGGAAGAGGAAGCCAAGTATATATGGAATATCTTGGTGGAAGTGAACCAGATGTTCCCCAGGAACAGAAAGGCCTTCTAGAACATTATGCTAGGGAAGCACCAGGCAGAAAAAGCACGGAGCCACGGTGCACTGTTCTCTGGCCTCAGCCCTTCTTCTCTCAGTTCAGAGTTCTCAGTTCTGCACACCGCCTGTCACCTAAATTGCTTCCATGAGGCAGTGCTAGAGCTCAGGTGAGGACGTTCTAGAAAAGCAGATTTTCTCTCTCCGACGGAGGAGGAGGCATAGGAAGAAGAGAAAGAAAAACAGACTGTGAAATGACCTCATGGCAACATTTCCCAGGAGATCCCAGAGATGTCTACCCGATCCACTGTTGCCAGACCATTAGGGGGCTTCTAACTGTCGCACAACTTTAGAGATCACTGTCCTGAACACTTGTGCGGACAGCATGGCTCACATCTTCTCTTCTTCACTCAGAAATGCTCCAGAGCAAAGGCACCTGTGTTTTTGCGGCTCTTAAGATGGACAGCTATCAATTGCCAACTCACTTTCTAGAAGGATTATTCCAATGGAGACTCCCCCTGGCAATGCCAATGAAGGTGCTTCTCTGGGAATTGAGGTGCTGTAATAGGTAGTGAGCGCCGCGTCCCTGGGGGGGTTTAAGTAGGTGCGATGTGACTATTTGCTCACTCCCAGGGCTGCTAGGGTCCAGAGGGAACTTGGACTGGTTGCAGGTAAGACTTGGGCGTCCTGAAGGAACTTTCCAAGTCTCTGGGCCTTTTTGGCTAAGACTGAAATTTCTGGTTCCCTGGTTCCTCTTTGACATACCCCTTCAAGCCTTACCACTTCTGCTCACGTTCCCGAGGTACTTGCATTATTCCTGGGACTGCCGCCATACCCTGGGCAAGCTGAACAGGCATGCTGGGTGTGGGGCAGAGCTGGCCTTCCCTTTGAGTGATGCAGGACGCTTGGCCCAGGGTGGTAAAGGGGACTCACTTGAAATCACACAGATTTAGGTGCAAATCCCATTTCTGCCGCTTCCCAGTGGGTGCCTTGGAGCCAGGTCACTTTATCTCCTGAACCTCAGTTTCCCTGCTCTGCGAAATGGGGATCACTGTAGCCCTCACCCCATGGGGCTGTTAGATGGGACAAACATGTGAACACTCCCTACAAATGTAAGTCTTCAATAAACAGTCCTTATTGATTTTTATTCGTTTGGGGTTTGTTCATAAGATGCTGAGGACAAGACCAGCCCACGTGTGATGCTGTACACAGCTGTCCCCCCAATGGGATTTGAGGGTCCTTTCTCCTCCTACCTCCAAAATATAACTCCGCTCTGCTGCTATGCCTGCCACCTAAATACGCACCATTAGTTACCTCTGTGGAGTAAGGCAGGGCAGCAGATCGTACTTTCCAGATATAGTCACATCAAGAGCTCACATATCACACACTCTTCCTATGACATGACTTTGATGTATCTCCCCCTGAGAGGTGGGGTCTGTTTCCTCTCCTTGAATCTGGGTGGACCTATGCCTATGGTGTGACACAGTGTCACTTCCACAACTAAGTCATAAAAGGCAATGCGGCCACTGCCCGGTCCCCTGGAACCTTCACACACATAGTCAGAGCTGCCTCCATCCCTGGCTATGCCATCTGGGGAGTCCGGCTGCCTGAGGCCGCCATGCTCTGCGGAAGCCCAGAGACCAGCTCATGCAGAGAAACCCCATGCAGAGGCCCCGAGACCCCATGTAGAAAGAGGAATGTCCAGGCAGCCCCCGGCCGCCCCAACCCAGTCACCACTGAACGGCAAGCGCATAAGAGACCCGCTCCAGGACCACCCAGCTGAGCCCTTCCCAAATTCTTGACCAGCAGAAACCCCGATATATAATAAAATGTGCTTGTTTTGAGGATGACAGCTATAGATACCTGATGCAAGCAAGAAATCCTTCATTCACAACCAACATTTCCATCTACTGTGTGTCAGACCGTGTGTCAGGTCGTTCTACCCTCGGCAATAATAATGATGGTGATAATAATACCAGCAGCTTCCGTGTATCCAGCTTTTGCAAGAACCGGGCAGTGGGCTATGGGGTTTACATGTATGTACATCCTGACTACAGTCCTGTGAGTGCCCTGCAGGTGCTCTTCTTAACCCCATTCCCCAGATGAGGACACTGAGGCTCAGAAAGATTGAATGACTTTTCCAAGGTCAAGTTAGCCAGTAAGTGGCAGAGTTAGGATCTGAACCTGGCTTGGGTGACTTCTGAGGTCCTCCTATGATGAGTCTGTGATGTCAAAATGGCCTTTCCCAGACTGGGAAATTGGCCCTAACCCAGAACAATGTCCACCAGAGCAAGAGCAAACCTGGGGGGCTATGTCTCAGGCCCCGTTTGTCTCCCCTCTCTGTCCCCCATGCTTCTTTTCCTCCCTTGGCTCTTTCCTGGGATCTCCCAACACACGTCCTCCCTCCCCTCCCCCCCACCCCAGCTGCCCTGGGACACAAGGAGATAGTGATCCGCTCGACCAGCTAACCTAGGATGGTGACATTGAGTTCTTAATGCTGGCTGGGCCACCAAGTACCAATCAGGGCCCCTCAGGGATGGACTTTGGCTCCAAACTCAGCAGTTTTGGAGCTACTTCCCAAAACAGCAGGTGGGCTGGGGAGCAGCTGACCCCAGAGCGGGCTCAGTCATTGCCCCACACAGACAGGAGCTGCAGGAGCCCTGTGCTGGCTGCCTGTACTTGCATGCAGGTGAGCTTGGCCTTACCCCCGCTCTCATGGGCTCCCAGCTGATGGGGGATCAGGCATGTCAGTCCCTATATTGCAGGATTCATGGAATAATTCTTCTATGGAGGGAGTACTTAGCCTCCAGGCATGGGGCCCAGGGCTTTACACACAGTGTTGGATTTCATCTTGCAAGGACCCCATGTGGTAGGTACTATTATCATCCCCATTTTTCAGTGAAGGAAAGTGAGGCTCAAAGAGTGTGTTTACCAAAGTTTGCACAGAAACCAGACGCCCTGAGATTCCAAATATAACATGCTCCGGACCACAGTGTCATCCGACTCGGAGTGGGGAGCCAGAGGTATGCTCTCTTTGAAAGTAAGGAAGCCGGGAGGGTGGGGGCGATGGAGGTTGTGGGGGAAGGCCGTGGAGGTTGGCGGGGGAGGGTGGAGGACAGGCCTTTGAGCTGGGCCAGGCGCATGAGCAAGGGTTTGTGGGGTGGAAAAGGGAAGTGTGGCATCCTGGGCAGGGACCTCAGAAGGAGCAGAGGTGTGGGCCATGTGTAAGTAGCAGGGTGTTCAGGGAATGGGGAGCCCTTCCCGGGCCAGGGCGGGAGGGGGTGGCGGCGGGTATACCAGACGAAGTCAGAAAGGGGCGCGACGGCTGGACGGTGAGGGGCCCCGAACGTCCGCGGGGAGTGGGGCCGCCGCCTGCAGGTGATGGGGAGGCTGGGCGGAGACGTCGGAGGTGCATTTGCAGGAGCGGGGGCGGGCTGCGGGGCTGCCCCGGGGGGGACGTCTGCCCCAGTTCCCGCCCACCGCCCCTGCCACCACCGCCCCTGGTACTGGTACTGACTGGAAAGACGGCGGGGACTCGAACCTCTCCAGAGGCTGGGAATTGAGGAGGGGTATGAGTGCAGCACCGACTCCCCTGTCTTGTCTATTTGCCATATTTTTCTTTTAAAAGCGATGCTACGAGGGGGAGTGCTGACCCTAATCAGGAGATCTCGCAAACAGAGGCATTTCAGGCAGGACGGCCGGAATATCTGTGGGTGAGGCGGGACCTGCCCCTCCTGGGACCTTCTCAAGCGCCCCTTATCACCGCTGATTCCCAGAAGCATCTGGAAATAAAACCCCTAGTTTCATCCCCTAACTGCCCCCTCTCCGGCCACCTGCTGTCTTTACCCGTCAGGTTTTATCTCAGCTTCCGCTTTAGCGGCACAAGCCGACCGACAGGCACCGGACTGAAAGAAAGGGGACAGTCCCGGGACCTTGCGGGAGCCTGTGCCTTTAAGGGTGGGGGCGGGCCCAGCCTCAGGGGCGTGTCACTGGGCGGGGCAAGCGAGGGCAGGGCCTGACCGGGACCCGCCCGGGCAGAGCCTGCGAAGTGCCCTGGCCTCTGCCACCCGCTGGGCCCCCGGATCGGCGGTGACGGGCTGGGGGGGACGTTCGGGCAGTGCGGGCTGGCGGCGGGGGACCGGGAAGGCCGCGAGGCCCGGCGGGGTCGAGATTCGGAGTTGGCGGGTCCGAGGCCCGGCTGGAGGTAAGGGGAGCCTCCTCGTCCGCCCCGGCGCCGCCTGAGGGCGGGCACCCGGACTTCAACTTTTCAACATCCGTCAAGGATTGGGAAACAGCACGTTGACGTTCCCCGTTCCCCGGGGTGTCGTACCTAGAAAGTGCAGCCGCAGATGGGGTTGCAGCCCCAACTTCCTATACCCGCCGCTTCCTATCAGGACTGCGAGTCTTCTGCGCGTAGGGCTCCGGACAGGCTCACAGGAGGTGCTCAATAAATGCTCCCTTGTGAACGACTACAAGAAACAGGCAGCCAATAGAAAGGAGGCACACCAGAGATGCAGGCATTTATTGAGCTCTTATTGTATGCCCCAGTGGGCCAGCATTTGTCTCCATTTTGCAGATGAGGAATCAGAAGCTCGGAGAGGTGAAGTGCCCTCCCCGAGGCCGCACAGCTCCTAAGTCGCTGTGACTGAATTGGAAAGCTGGAGTGTCTGGTTCCAAATCCGTGCCAAGTTCCAGGAAACAACAGGAGAGGGGAAAGTTAACAGGTGAGAAAAGAGAGCTGGGACAGGCCTTTTCTGCCCCCCTTTCCCCTTCTCTCCTCTGGAGCCTCCTCCCCACCCCTGCCCTGTCAGGTCATTGAGAAATATCTATGCAAAGAATTACAAAAAAAGTAACGTCTTCTGGACTTTGTTTCTGTTGATGGCAAAAACAAAACATGCTCATCTACAGCGGGCGCAGAGCCAAAAGAAGGAAATTGGTGTGCCAAAGACTTGGGTTTTTTTTCCCAGTTTGATTTCTTTGGAAGGATTGAAGCTGGGTTTGCCCTGGTGTTGAGGTAAAAGGCAGATGCTAGAATCCAGCTCAGCTCTGCTGCTAACATGCTGTGTGATCTTGAGCCATTCACTTCCCTCTGGGCCTTGATTTCCCCATCAGAGAAGCTGCGGTTGGCTTTGTGACCTTGCCTTGTGACTTTGGGCTGGTTAGGGAACTGCTCTGAGCCCAGCTCCCGCCTCTGTAAGACAGGCAGGGACAATGACATCTCCATGGTTGTCCTGAGGACTGGATGAGAGAGGTGAGGCACAGTGTCTGAGCGAGGACACAGACCTGGCTCTGTGCCCAGGTTTGCTCATCTGTAAAATGGAAATATTAAAAGTACCTCCCCTTGGCCAGTTGCGGGAATTAAATGAGGTCATCTGTGGTAAGTGCTTAGCTCACTGGAAGACGTAGAACAGCATTGCTTAGATGTCTCAAATTGGTGGCCCAAAGGCCACGTCCACTCCCAGAAGTATGTTTTTGTTGTTCTGAGGGCTTGCCAAGTCCCCCCCAACTGCCCCCTTCTGTATTGATTTTCCCCAGCTGGGCCGCACCCCCCCCGCAGCTGAAATCTCCTCTGGAGTCCCGGGATTCCTCCTTCCAGCCCTGATATTCCAGTCTCGGGCTGGGGGCTGGGTGTGGGTGGGAGAGGCCTGTATCTCCATGGAGACACTTTCGGGGGTACCTAGGAAGAAGGGCATAACTAACCTGCATGCTGAATGAGCGGGGACCCTGGGGCCCACCAAAGAGCCTCCATCCAGAATGAGTTTCTACATTTGTTTTCCTTTGGTGGGGTTAGCGGGGAGGGCAGTTCCTCAACTGAAAAAGTTTTCAGTCCCTTCCTGCTGGGGCCTAGGCTCTTCGGTGACACTGTCCCTCCTTCTCACCTCACTCTCTGCAGGCCACTGGAGTGACCAGCTGTTTGGAAGTGAAACAGTGCCGAAGGGGGAGCGGAGAGTGAGGGCCAGGCTCCGCGGGGTCAGCTGTATCTGCACCCAGTGCTGAGTTTGTTCTGTGTGGGGCTGCTGATGGTGGAGACGGTGTCCGGGGCCAGGGGCCCATTTACAGGGGCCCACATTGGCCCCCAGTTTTCAGCCTTAGGTGTGAACCAGACCCCCATGGAAGACGTGAGCATCCAGGTAGGAAGCTGGCATCGGGTGGGTGTATTCATCTAATCCACAAATATTTACTGAGCATCTACTATGTGCCAGGCACTGAGCTGAACCTTGGGGTATACCAGGGAACAATATAGACATAAATTCCTGCCCTCGTGGAGCTAACAGTCTTCTGGGAGGACAGATCATGGAGCAAACATGTAAATTTCAGGTGGTAAGATGTTAAGTGTTTTGCAAATAACCTCTTCAGGTGATGGGGAGGGTGTATTTCCAAATATTTCAGAGTGGGCTTCTGTGAGGAAGTGACCTCTGAGCCAAGCCCTGAATGGAAAAAGTAAGTCACTTATAAAGGCATCTGGAAAAATCTGGGAAAAGAACATTCCAGGCAGAGAACAGCAAGCACAAAGGCCCTGAGGCAACAACAAGCTTAGTATGCTCCTGGAGCAGTGAGGGGGCCAGAATGGCTGGACCAGGGTGAGTGAGGGGGAGAATATTAAGAGATGAGGATGGAGAGGTAGTGGTGGCCAGATTACAAAAGGCCTTATAGGCTGAGGCTAGGAGATGATATTTGTTTACAGTAGTTGGGAGCCCATGGAGAGTTTCAGGCAGAGGGATGTCAAAGTCTGATTTATGTCTTCAAAGGAGCTCTCTGGCTTCCCTGGGGAGAATGGATTGAGAAGAGTGAGGGCGGCAGCAGGGAGATCAGTGAGGGGCTTTTGTAGCTATCTAGGTGAGTGGTGGTGGTTGTGGAGGATAGGAAAGGAATGGAGGGGTTTGAGATAAATGTTGGGGGCACAATGAGTGGGATGTACTGATGGATTAGGAGGAAGGGCATAGTGGTGGAAGAAAGGGGATTTCCGGGGGGATAGTGGTGCTGTTGACTTGGGTGTTCGGAGGGAGGAGAAATGGGGACACTTTGGTGAGAGGCAAGAAGTCTTCTTCCCATAGGCCATTAAGACAGGCTGCAGGAACTTGAATCATGCCATCCTGATGTCGGTAAGCAGAGGAGAGGTGACAGTGCATCCCAAGTTAAAGACTGAAGGCAGGGGACTGCTCACAATGACCCTCTGGAGTCCCACCTGCAGGAGGCTGGAGTTCTCGCCCTTCCCCATTCCCAGGAGAATGGAATAACAAACTCCTCCCTCTTGAACTGAGGGGCTGAGAGTGTTTAGTGCCCATGCCAACTTTGTGGGGCTGCAGAGTACCTTCATGCCCATCTTCTGAGGCTGAACGGGTAATTACACCCATTTTACAGACGGGAAAGTGGTTTATGGTTACTGTGGTTATAAAATTCACTGCTGCCTCTCCAAGGAGGGGCATGCTCCCTGGGGTTAGGAAAATCTCGGTAATCTGTGGCTTGTGCCAGATAATCTCTGAGTTACTGAGCACTCAGGCCAGCCCTGTGTCAAGCTCAACAGATTCTCCCCTAAACCTCCCAAGATGGGTATAAACGTCTCTGTGCTATAGATAGGGGTGCTAAGGTTTAGGGAGGAGAAGCTGGCCAGAGCCAGGAGAGGGCCAACTATTTTCCTGGGTGTCCTTAGTGACTCCGGAAAGAGGATGAGAAAGGAATGGGGAGGAGGTGAAAAGTCATCCACCCCAGACTCAGAGCAGGGCCACTATAACTATGCCACCCCAGGGCAGAGAGCTGGGGGCAGGTGCTGGTGGGCTTTGGGGGAGGGCATGACCCCCTTGGGATGGGGGCTGATTCGGGGGCTGGAGGCAGATTTGGGGGACCTGATTTGCTGGCTCACTCTGCTGCCAGGGAATGGAGACAAGCTGGGGTGGGAGCGTCTCCCTGCATCCTCCCTGGCTGACCCTGAGGACGGGGAGGAGGGAGGGAGGGCAGGCAGGACCAAGGAGACTACCCCTGCCCAGTTGGGCTGTTTCCCCAGGAGCTTCAGCTGGTAACTTTCAGGCAGAGGTGAGTCCGAAACCACCTAGCAAGGGTGGGCTGTGTGCCCTTGGGGAAGTCACTTTGCCTCTCTATGCCTCAGTTTTCTAATCTGTTAAGTGGAAAGAATCGTACCAACCTCCTGGGTCTGTCATGAAGACTGAGTGAAGATGGTGTCCAGCACAGTGTGTGGCAAAACAGTTATGAGGACCAACTGTGTGCCAGGCACCGTGCAAGACTTTGGTGGGAGAGGTAGACACGAGACAAGTCTGTGATCCTACAAATAACTGGGGATTTCAAAACACGTAAGTGCTTGGAAGGAGAGGACCTGGAGTGATGAAGAGTTTATAACTGGGGGATCCGCCTTAGGCTGGAGGCTGTTAGGGAACCCTTCCTGGAGGAAGCATCTGGGGAACTATGAATGTGGTGGATTCACAGGGACAAAGAAGGAGTGGGGTATTGGGTGGAAGGGACGGCAGGTGCCTTAAGTACAGCGGGCTCCATGTTGCATCTGCAGAGAGCCAGTGAGCAGGGTTGGGACAATGGCCAGGGGGCTCAGAATCCAGAAATCTCACCTGCCGCCTGGTGTTGGTGGGAGTTCAGAGAGGGCTGAAGGATCGTGGAGCTGCAATCTGACAAAGTTGTTTCTTTGAAATTAGGGTGAAATATACATAACCTAAAATTCACCAACATAACCTAAAATTCTCCCACTGTGAACCGTTTCTCAGTGTGCCGTTCAGTGGCATTAGCATGTTCATGCTGTCATAGCTGTCACCACCATCCACCTCCAGAACTTTCCCATCTGGCAAAACTGAGACCCTGTCCCCAATAAATAAGAACTCCCCATCTCCTCCTCCCTGAGCCGCTGCTTTCTGCTTTCTGTCTCCTCTGTGGATTTGACTAGTCCAGGTACCTCCTGTAAGTAGGGTTAGTGGGTGTCTTTTGGTGACTCGCTGACTACCGAGCATGATGCTCTGTTATGGCGCCCCAGAAGGTTCTCCCATGGTGTAGTGTGTGTCAGAACTCCCTTCCCTCCGAAGGCTGAATGTTGGTCTGCAGTATGGATCTGCCACCTCTGGTTCATCCATGCATCCATCAGGGGCACTTGAGTTGCTTCTAGCCCTTCTGACTGTCGTGAATAGTGCCGCCGTGAACACGGGTGTGCACGTCTTCTCTCTGCGACCTGGCTTTCCGTTCTTTTTGGTATAAACCCAGAAGCGGATTTACTGGATCATAGGGTAATTCTATGTTTTTCCACTTTTATTGAGATAGAGTTGATGTCCAGCGCTGCGCTAAGTGTAAGGTGTACGGCATAATGTCTTAACGTACATCCATTGTGAAATGATGACAATAAGCCTAGTTAACATCTCTCCTCTCGGATAGATTTTTAAAAAGAAAGGAAAAATGTTTTTTTCCTCATGATGTTCTAACGGCTTTCATACTTGCCAGACAGCAGCGCTCCCTGGTCACCGTGCAGTGCGTTACATCCCTGTCCTGGTGACTAACGCTCTTTGATTTTTCGGGAACTACCACGCTGTTTTGCAAGGCTCTGCACCATTTCACATTCCCACCAACAGTGCACAAAAGAGGGCTCCGAATCCTCCCCATCCCAACCCCATACTTGCTAGTTTCTGGCTTTGTTTGCTTTGTATAGTAGCTATCCTAATGGGTGGGAGTGGGTATTTACAAAGCTTATTTAACAGAAAGTTTGAGAAGGAGGAGGGACATTCCAAGCAGAGGACAATGACTAAGCAAATGCATGACATGACAAAGGACAAATATCCATTACACAGAGAGCTTCTACAAGTCAATAAGAAGAAGCAAACATTGCAACTGAAAAAACCTGGCAGTTCAAAGAAGGAATACAAATGGCCTTGAGAAGGGCACTGAGAAGTAATCAGGGACTTGGAATTGAACAGCAAGAAGATTCCTACCACATCAGCCTGGAAAAGACTTGGTGGCAGGTGCAGGTGGGGAATCCCATTTGCCGGTGCTGATGCCCATGTCTATAAGTAAAGCTTGGGGGAGCATATTTTGGCAAAACCCATAGAATGTCTAAGATATTTGTCCCTCTGTAAGGGGCGCTGTCAGGGCCCTGGCCATATCCTTTGCACACTACCACTTTGGTGGGCTTCTGTTGACTTCTAGTGGCCGGCATCTTTTTCCCCATAAGCACAGTAGGCAGGAAGCACTTGCCTTGTGCTTACAACTTACAACCTTGCCTACAACCCCCCCCCACTCGCCGCCCCCAGCATCCTCACCTGATGACCGATTGGAGTTGGTGTGTAAATACCGCAGCTCCCTTGCTCCTGGGATTACTAGCCCAAGGTGGGCAGTCCCAGCCCAGCCGCGCTGGTTTCTTTTCCTTCCTTCTCCTGCTTCCCCGTTGTGGTGGTTACATTCTATACACTTCCCAAATACGTACTTATTCACTCATAAATCCGTGTCTCCGCGTTGCTTCTGGAGGAACCCAGACTAGGATGCACTCTGACTCAGCACTTTTACTTCTAGAATTCTCTCTTTCAAAATATTCTCATATGTACTCAGAGAGTCATGTGCAAGGATGTTTATTGCTGGCTATACTGAAAAATCAGACACAGCCCATATGCCCGCCAGTGGGGAAATATTACCACCACCTGCCACCCCCCCATATCATTCAGAGCATGAAATACTACACTCATGTTACAGACTCTACAGGGAGTTCACAGGGAGTGTGATGGCTAAAGACAAGGTTCTAGAACCTCAATTCCAAACCTGTCTACCACTGAGTGGACCCCAGGACACTGCTTTAGTCTCCTTATCTATATATGGGGCATGATAATAGGGTCTTCCTTGCAAGACTGTGGGACAGATTAATTGAGATACGTTTTAAGCTCCTAGCCCTGTGCCCGGCGTATGGAAATTACTCAGCGTGCTTTCACTTTGATCACCTTCATCATTCTGTGTACCAGTATATTAATAGGTGGCATATACGTGAAGTGGTAAAAGCAAATTATAGAAACAAGAGATTTAAGATGGATCTGTTTCTGTAAAACAAAAGCAGCTGTATAATAGGATGGACGTACAAGGTCATTATGCCCGTAAGGGGACTCTGGAAACTGATCGTGGTGGGAACTTCGGAGAAAGGTCGGATTGTGGAAGGTAGGGAAGAGAAACAAATTCATGAATTACTCGTGTAAACAAGTCTATTTAAGAAGAGTAAAGCTTGGGGTTGGCACTTGGAGGGTGTGGGGGGCTTAGGGGTCAGGCTGAAGGAGGGCATCTTCAGCTACTTAGATGGTCCTGGTCCAGCTGCCCTCAGGGTGTTGACCCCTGACGCCCCCCTCCCTCCCTTCCTGCAGTGTCGTGACGTGTGTGGCCTGAACGTCTCTGACCGCTGTGACTTCATCCGGGCCACCCCTGACTGCCAAAGCCAAGGGGGTTACCTGAACTACCTCGAGGGCGTCTTCTGCCACTTCCCCCCTAACCTCCTCCCTCTGGCCATCACCCTCTATGTGAGGCCCTGCCCCAGGGTGGGGGGCAGGGGGGTTGGTGAGCGGGGCTGGTGGCCCAGGCTGGACTTGACGCTCCCTTCCCTCCCCCCACCCCCCCGCACCCCTCTCCCAGGCTTTCTGGCTACTCTACCTGTTTCTGATTCTGGGAGTCACAGCGGCGAAGTTGTGAGTGTGGCCTTGGGCTCCCATCCAGCTTATAGATGGGAATGGAGTCCCTGGGAGGTTGACATGGGGGTGACCCTGTGTTTGGAGAGAGGATGGCATGAAGGCACACCCTGTTTGCTTTTCCTCCCTAGTTTCTGCCCTAACTTGTCAGCCATTTCCACCGTGCTCAAGCTCTCCCACAACGTGGCAGTATCCTTTTGTCCAGGGCCTGCACTCCGGAGGGTGGGAGGGCTCTTAGAGCGGAGGCTGGGAGACCGCGTGGCGGCTCACGGCCCTGGGACGGGTCTGGCCAGGCTGGGGCCCCTGCTCTGTGTCGCCTTGACGTGCTCCCCCCATGGCGTCACCTTCCTGGCCTTCGGGAACGGCGCGCCCGATGTCTTCAGCGCCCTGGTGGCTTTCTCGGATCCGCGCACAGCCGGCCTGGCCTTCGGGGCGCTGTTTGGTAAGAGCGGCCCGGGGCAGCCGCGGGGGGGGGGGGGGGGGAGGGGGGGGGGCTGCAGGGCGGGCTGAGCTCTGCGTCTTCTCCTCCAGGCGCGGGTGTGCTGGTTACCACCGCGGTGGCCGGTGGCATCGCCATCTTGCGCCCCTTCACGGCCGCCTCCAGGCCCTTTCTCAGAGACATTGTTTTCTACATGGTGGCCGTGTTCCTGGCCTTCACCGCACTCTACCTTGGCAGGGTCACACTGGCATGGGCCCTGGGTGAGCAGCCGCAGGGCTGGGCGGGTGGGAGGCACCAGGGGACAGCAGTAGGTGGCCCCACTTTTGAGGAAGGAAACCCTCCTCAAGCTGGCTTGAGCCAAAAAAGGGAACCTATGGTTCAGATAACCAAAGGGGGCAAGCGGGGGAGCCTGGGGGGATGTTCTGGATTTCTGGATTTTCTCAGTGTCCCATTTTAACAGGCAGTATAGCCAGGTTGCTGACTGTGGCCCCCAGCGTCCCTGCGGCACACACACCCCACTCGTGGTTCAAGGGATGTGGACAGAGGCACAGTTCACAGAGGGTTCTGGAAACCCACAAGGGACACTGAGATGCAGAGACATCCAGGGATCAGCAACCGCAGGAGCCCCTGAGAGGCAAGGGGATGGGGCTGGACCCCAGCGAGGACTGGAGGCCTGGACCAGGTGCCACCAAGCACAGGCGACAGTCCCAGAGGGTCACAGGTCCTGCCAGAAACAGGGCACCACACCAGGGAGGGGGTCTGGAAAAGCACCACAGACTCTGTCTTGCTGCCTTCTGATTTGTCTTCAGGCCCCTTTTCACCAAACCCAGTGCCGCCAGAGCTCAGGGGCTGCAGTCTGCGGGGCTCAGCTTCCCAGGGCACAGAGCAGGACACCAGCCCTTCGCACTTGAATCGGGTCCTGGAGGCCACTGTCTGTGCCAGGCGTTACCTCTTTGATTGCCCGATTGTGGAGGGCAGGAAGGGAAGATGGGCCAAGGGAAAGCAGGGTGGTGCGGTGGGGGCTCTAGGAAATGGCCATTTCCCTACTGGTCCTGGGCTAGGCTAACGCAGACCACCACCAGTAGGCACCAGCAGGAGAACGGGCAGCACCATCTGGGGCTATGGCCAGGATGCCACTTGGTGATGGCCTGTGCCCTTGTCTGCAGCTTACCTAGGTTTGTATGTGTTCTATGTGGTCACCGTGGTTCTCTGCACCTGGATCTACCGATGGCAGCGCAAGAGATCCCTGGTCTACTCCAGGCCAGGCACTCCAGGTAAGGGTCTGAACTGAGCTCCCAAGCGAGGCCAGCGGGGGCTCGCGCCCTCTGCACCCTTCACGACCACCTTACATCTCTGGAGGCCAACGTCACCGTCCATCTCTTCTTCGTACTTTTCCCACTTGTTCTGTGCCAAGGCCCCACGTGCACACTTCGGCTGTGCCGGTGAGAGGCCTCATCAGCTGCTTGTCCGGTTTCACGGGCTCTTCCTCCTCTGTGCTCTCTCCAGGGCAACATCTGTCTCAGGGCTGTCACTGCTTACCTCCAGGAATGCTCCCCACTGCCCTCGGCTTCGAACCCAGATGCTTCCCTATACACCAATATGTGCACACACAAACACACATACATACACAAATCCACGTGTGCACACAACACCTGCACAATACACAGTCGTACAAATATACACAAATACATACGCAACACACGTATGTACATATACATATACCCATCCCCATGAACAACACGCAGGTGCCGGTGACTCACCCTACAGGAAGTCTGCCATGATTTCTCCTCTCCTCCCTCTCTGTCAACTGAGCCTTCAGAGTTCAGCACACATCACCCTTTGTGCCGTCTTCTAGACCCATCATAGTCACATCAGGCTGGAGGAAAAGGGGGACTGAGGCCTGGAGAGGAGCCTAAGGTCACATGGGGCAGGACTAGGGCTAGCAATGAGGAAGACCATTTTCCTTTTAGGCCCCTCTTTACTGGGCTCAGGCTGTAACATTCCTGAGGACTTCCAAAAAAAGGGTCAGACTGAAAAAGAAAAATATGATGGGTTCCAAATTCTGAAAAGTACAAAATCGAAGTCAGCAAATGTTTGAGTTACGTCTTCAAACGCCCTTATTAAATTTGACTTTATAGCTATGTCATTATATTTGAAGATGTTTTTTTGAGTTAGACTTTCTCACTCGGTAAGAATGCTGAGAAATCCAAGGTCCAGATGGCCTAGACACCTGTACCCTGGAAACGGCCCTGTCCCGGAGGTGTCCTACTCTGGAACGGTGCCAGGGGAGGGGTGGGTGGGCTGGGCTCCCTAGCTGGCTCGTGTGAAACACCCCTCTCTCCTACAGAAATGCTCTCAGATTCTGAAGAGGAGCCCGTGTCTTCCAACAGCTATGACTACAGTGAGTCCGGACTCTGTGCCCAGCGGGGGTGGGGTACCAGGGCAGGGCTGGGGGTAACAGAGGTGGGGAGATGGGGCCATGAAGCCCCCAGGAAGGAGGCTCCGAAACAGCCCCACCTCTCACTGCATGACGGCTGAGCCAGGCCCTGGGCTTTTCCTTCTTCCTGAGGGTTGGGAGGACCAGGGGGAGTGGAGAGGGTCTCCTGAAGGCTGAGCCAGCCACAGATACCTGCCCCTTCCTGCCTCGTACACCCAGGCGAAGAGTACCGCCCGCTGCTCTTCTACCAGGAGACCACAGTTCAGATCCTGGCCCGGGCCCTCAACCCCCTGGATTACAGGAAGTGGAGGAGCAAGTCAGTGTATTGGAGGGCCCTCAAGGTGGTCAAGGTAGGAGGGGGGACCCTGGAGCCAGGCTCACGGCTCCGTGACAACACAGGACAGTGGCCACTCAACCTTCTCCAGCTCAATGAGAGAGGAGGGGCTGGGGTCTGCTGAGACCCTCTCAGAATAGATTACGTGGGACTTGATGGGGGAAACTGAGTCATAGAGTCTGGCTGATGGCCTGACCTGCCCCCCGTGGAGGAAGGGTTGCATCTGGGACAGAGGGAGACGGGAGGGAGCCCCTCCTGACTTGGCGAGGGGGGCTCTGGGGCTCAGATGAGGGAGTGGTCAAGGGGAGCTCCAATGAGGACAAGATTGGGTTGTTCTGACCATTTGTTGTTTCCCTGGGCTAAAGTCTCCTGAGGATTAGATCTGGGGGCCACTGGGTACTTGGGGGGTATGCTCTTGTCTTGGCACAAGAGGCCAAGACAAACTTTGCATGCATGTTTTAAGCCTCTACTCCTATCACATTCACCAAGCACCCATTGGCCGAAGCTTGTCCTGTGGCCACGTTCATCAGTGGGGCAGGAAAGTGTATTCTGCAGCCTCTAATCACTTGACAAAGGACATGGGCATTTAATTCTGTTCCAGGAAGGGATTGAAGAATTATGAACAGTATCAGGCCTATCATAGTTTATTAAATTGGGACAGTTTCGTAAAAACTACCCCGTGAAGGGCTGAGTACGGTGCCAAACAGGCATGGGCCTCATTTCATTGCACTTGGCTTTACCAAGCTTCGCAGACACTGCGTCTCTTACAAATTGCAGGTCTGTGGCAACCCCTGCGCTTAGCAGGTCTTTTCCAAAAGCATTTGCTGATTTCGTGTCCCTGTGTCCCATGCTGGAATTTCTTGCAACATTTCAGACTTTGCACCACTACTCCATGGATCGTGGTGATCTGGGAGCAGTGATTACAGCTTGTTGGAAGCTCAGGGGCTGGTTAGCATTTTTTAGCAATGAAGTAGTTTTTTTTAAAGATTTTATTTATTTATTTGGCAGAGAGAAAGCAGGAGAGCACAAGCAGTGGGAGAGGGAGGAACAGGCCCCCCGTCGAGCAGGTAGTCTGACGCGGGGCTCGATCCCAGGACCCTGGGATCATGACCTGAGCCGAAGGCAGTCATTTAACCAACTGAGCTACCCAGGCGCCCATGAAGTATTTTTTAATTAAGGAAGTACATTTTTTGAGATACCATGCTACAGCACTCTTAACAGACAGTGTAGTGTAAACATAACTTTTCTATCCACTGGGAAACCGAAAAATTCTTTTGACTCGCTTTATTGTGACATGCACTTTACTGAGGTGGTTTGGAACCAAATCTGTGATGTCTCTGCGGTTTGCATGTCGTGAGCACTCCGTACATGTGATTATTAATTTAGTTATTGACTGAAAGCGCAAGGTGTGGAGTCCATTGGAGCTGGCCCTGGATCCCAGGTCACACACCCTTTTGTGCGTCTTCGGAGAACTTCCTTAACCTCTCTGAACCTCAGTCTCTTTTTCCGGAAGGTGAGAAAAAGAATAGTTCCTACGCATGGGGCCGTGGTTAGGATTAGTGGATGAGGTGCCACGGTCAGCTGAGTCACGGCCCCCCAAAGATGTCCAGGTTCCGATCCCCGGAAATGTGACTCTGTTAACCTTCCTGGCAAAAGGGATTGCAGGTGCGATGAAGGGTCTGGAGAGGTAGAGAGTCTCCTGGGTTATCCAGGTGGGCCTGATGTCATCACAAGGGTCCTTACAGGGAATGAGGGGGTCTGGGGTTGGGGGGCGGGCAGAGTCCGGGGAGATGTGATCACAGAAGCACAGCAGGGAGTGACCGGGGGCCACAAGCCGAGGGATGCACGTGGCCCCGCCGACACCTCGGTTTTGGGACCCCGTGCCCCAGAGCCGTAAGGGGAAGGATCTGTGTTACCCAAGGGCACTTGGTTTGGGCTGGTGCGCCAGCAGCCGCAGGAGACCACTGTGGACACGGGGCCTGCCGGGCCTCGGCCAGATGGCCGTGCTCTGGCGTAACCTTGCCGAGGGCGCGGCCAGCCCAGATGCGGGCCTCCCTGGTGACACCCTCCTGCCTTGGCACCCTTGGCAGCTGCCCGTGGAGTTCCTGATGCTGCTCACCGTCCCCGTCGTGGACCCCGACAAGGAAGACGGGAACTGGAAACGGCCCCTCAACTGCCTGCACCTGGTCATCAGCCCGCTGGTCTTGATCCTGACCCTGCAGTCGGGGGCCTGTGAGTGTCCCCTCCCCCAGGCCAGCCCACCTCCCTTCCCCGTCCCCCCCCCCCCCCGACATTCCAGAGTTTTCTTTTCAACCGCACCACGGGGGCCCTGGCGGCGGAACCCCGGGCATCCAGCAGACAGTAAAGGGACACCAGCGTCCCACACTCAGCTGGTGCAGTACTGCCGGCCTCAGATGGTGGCTGCAAACTGGTGGCCCTCTGACCAGGTCCAGCCCTTTGCTCATTTGCCCGCGTTAAAACATTTGGAGATTTCACATGAGAATCCAGGTCCAGCACTCCGGAAGGCAAAACTGGCTGGCGCTGAGAAGGGCGTCTCCCCGGTGGGGGGTGCCCGTGGTACGCAGCAGGACAGTCCCCTCCCCTCCCTTGCCTCTTGGGGGACCCGGCTGGGGAATTGGAGTTTTCTCTGTCCGCTCCAGGCTGTCCTTGCCCTTTCTGACCTACTCTGGCTCCAGAAATGCCCAGGCATTTCTTCCTGTTGTCCACCTTTAGTATCTCTTGCTGCCCGTGCCTCTCTGTCCCCTGGGCATCACCTGGAGGTGGAGGAGGTAGGGCGCTAGGGGCAAATGCATGGCTGGGCGAGGCGTTTTTTTGCTCTAACAGGGTCAGCAAATTCCCTGTGGGTCCCCTCCCGGATTTATGGGGCGGCGGGGGGCGGACACTGTGCAAGAGCCCACCAGGGCTCAGTGTGACCCCAGAGCTGAGAAGGGCGGCCTTTAGGGGTACCAGCTGTCTGGTTCGTCAGTCTTCTGTTCCCTATTGAGCCTCCCGGGCCAGGGCACTGCCAGGGACTCGCTTTCATCTCTGGGGCTTCTTAAAAGAGTGGACCCCAAGCATCAGTCATTCACAAGCCAGCTTCTTGATTTTTCTCCCATTGTATGCTATGCCATTTGACCTTTCTCTTGAATCAGCTGTTTTTAAATTTAAAGTTATTGAAAAGGAAACAATATCACCTGCACCGATAGGAAACTGTGGCTTCACTGCCAGTAAGTTCAAGGTAACTGCAAAGAGAAAGACAATAAACATAAAGCCTCTGAGCCTAGAGGCTCTGTTCCGTAGGGCGTGTAGCAGGGGTTAGAGACGTTACAGACCTATTCACACCATGGAGACTCTCTCCGGAGGAGAAATCGCTCACCTGAGATGTGATTCTGGCATGGTAGTGGCTTGTCCACATACCAGCACTATCTGGTGATAGCAGGTCCACACTGGGGAAGTACTGGTTCAGGCGAAAACATTTATGACCCCCTTCCGGGCGGAGCCCTGGACTCGGCTCCCTGTGGGAGGGGGTGTCTTGTCTGCCAGTAGAGCCTCCCAGCCTCCTCCCCCTCAGACAACCCCAGAGCCATCTTACTAAAGTGCTGCCTTTCCTATGTTGTGGTCACTCCTCCACTCAAAGACCTCCATGGCTCCCCAGTACCTGTTGGTCCAAGTCCACACCGCCCTGGCCATCCGTAAGGCAGCTGCGTTCCCTGGTCTCTTCTGCTTTTGCCGGCATCCACCTGCTTGGTTCCTTCCCACCCAGCTCTCCCCTCTCCAATGTGGCCCTTGTACCCTCTGTCTGCTTATGCCTCATCATACGTCCTCAGCACTCAAAGAAGCCCTTCCCGACCACCCCACACCCCAGCCGCCTCCTAAAATTCCCCCAGAACAGACCTGGCAAACACAGAAAGGGTCCCCCCTCATTCAGGTGTCAGGTTCCAAAGCTGGAGCTACCGGTGAGAACCAAGTTCAGTCAAAATTACCTCCTGAGATCCACGCACAGTGTACTGTGGACACGATTTTGTGTATCAGCTCCCTTGTGTAATTCTTAAATGCCGACTGACATTGGAGAGCCAATGAGCTAGACTGAAGAAGAACAAGAGGAAAGTCTTGATGCAGGTGTCTGGGCAGCCAAACCATCCATTGCCTTTGAGACCAGTACTGACTCCCTGGTGGTGGAAAGGGTTGTGTGTGGAAAATTCTAGAGTGTGCCGTCTGCCTGTAGGGTTTCCCTCTTTTCATGTTTTGATGTGAAGCCCCTGGAACTTTCATAACTTTTTTTTTAAAGATTTATTTATTTAGGGGCGCCTGGGTGGCTCAGTCAGTAAGCATCTGCCTTCGGCTCAGGTCATGGTCCTAGGGTCCTGGGACCAAGCCCCGCATCGGGCTCCCTGCTTAGCAGGGAGCCTGCTTCTCCCTCTCCCTTGCCTGCCGCTCACCCTGCTTATGTTCTCTGTCTATGTCAAATAAATAAATAAAATCTTAAAAAAAAAGAGATTTATTTATTATTTTATTTTATTTTATTTATTTTATTTTTTAAAGATCTTATTTATTTATTTGACAGAGAGAGACACAGCGAGAAAGGAAACACAAGCAGAGGGAGTGTGAGAGGGAGAAGCAGGCTTCCCGTGGAGCAGGGAGCCCGACGTGGGAATCGATCCCAGGACCCTGGGATCATGACCTGAGCCGAAGGCAGACGCTTAACGACTGAGCTGCCCAGGCGCCCCTATTTATTATTTTAGAGAGAGAGAGTGGGGGTGGGGGGAGTGAGGGGCAGACGGAGAGGGAGCCAGAGAATCTCAGACTCCCCGCTGAGCAGGGAGCCCCACGCAGGACTTGATCCCATGACCGTGAGATTTACCTGAGCTGAAATCGAGAGTTGGATGCTTAACCAACTGAGCCACCCAGGCGCCCCCTGGAACTTTCATAACTTCGAATGGGTTGGTTTGTGGAGTGTACTTATCAAGAGGGCAGGTGCTGGGCTCCAGGACCAGTGGGTAAGGGTTGGGTTCGACTGTACAGCTCATTTAGTGGAGTGATGCCCATCCATTGGCAATGCCTGGCTGGAGGGTGCTGCCTTGAAGCTCAGTTGGAAGAAGCATCAGCATGATGGTTGATTAGTGATGTCTGCCATGGGCATGGGCGAGGACAGCCATTCCCATCCCGGTCTCCTAGCAGAAGGCTGGGGAGAGTCTGTCACATTGTCTGCCTTCTTTCCAATGTGGCTAGCTTGAGGGTGAGGGCTCTGTCTTTAATTTCTCTGTGCCCCTGAAGTGTCCGGGACGGTGCTGGGGACATTGTATGTCCAAACAATCGAGTGTAAGTGAGTTTTATCCCTGGGTCCTTCCCCCAGGCCCTCCCACTCATTCTGGGGAAGGGCTGTGCCCTCCAGGAGCAGGGGCCGAGCTGAAGCAGTGGAGAGTCCCACGCCCCTTTCTTGCCCCTCCACAGATGGCGTCTATGACATAGGTGGCCTCGTTCCTGTCTGGGTCATCGTGGTGATTGCAGGGACAGCCGTGGCTGCGGTGACCTTTTTTGCCACATCCAACAGCGAGCCCCCCAGGCTTCACTGGGTAAGAATCCCCAGCACTCCCAGGTGGAGCGAGGGGGCACTGGAATCTCCCAGGAGGGTGTCCTGCCCGTGCCCCTGGGGCCGATAGGCCAGGAATCACTTTCCGTAATGACAGGTCTTTAAAACCACTTTGGATGATAGTTGTGTTCCTTTTCGAGGTTTTTTTTGCTTTTGTTTTTTGGGGCTTTTGTTTGTTTGTTTGTTTTGGTAACAGCTTTATTTTATTGAGATGTAATTCCCATACCATACAATTCGCCCATTTAAAGCGCGGATTCGGTGGTTTTTATTATATTCACCGAGTTGTACCACTGTCAGAATTTCAAGGCCTACACCCAGGAGCAGTCTTCTTCCCTCCCCCCGGCCCCCCCCCCGCCATCCCCCGGCCCCCACCAGTCTGCGTCCTGTGTCTGTGGAGTTGCCTAAGTTTTGGACTTCTCACGGAAATGGGATCCTACGATATGTGGTCTTTTGCGAGTTTGCATCATGTTTTCAAGGTCGTTCCATGCATTAGCCGGGGATCAGGGATGGCTGAGCGTCCATGGTATAGATATGGCACGTTTTGTTTATCTGTTCATCACCGGCGGGCACGGGTTGTCCCGACTTTGGGGATGTTAACAAGGAACGCGGCTATGATGTTTGTATGAACACGCGGGTCTGGAAATAGGCTTTCATTTCTCTTGGGTGCATTCCTGGGTGAAACTGCAGGGGCAGACATTATGTTTCCCTTTTTGAGCAACTACCAGACTCTCTCCTGCTCACTCTCGGGGAAGCACCTGCGTGTCTCCCAGCCACGTTCCAGGGATGGAATTGTCTGATGTGTGTGGGGTTTTTTGTTTTTGTTTTTTCCCATTCTCTCCACCCTGCAGCACGCTGAGGAATTTTTAGGCAGTTTGTTCAGAATGTACTTTTCAAAGTGCACTTACAAGTTTAATTTTTTTTTTTTTACTATTGATAAAAAAATACAGCTTTTATTTTGAGAAACTCTTGAGTGTGTCAATCCAAAGCAGGTCGAATTTTCAACCAATTGATGACTTAGAGAAATAGTGTTCAGCCAGTGTGTTTACTGGGTTTTGAAGTACCTCACATACTCCTACGTGGATGTCCCTCGAAGACACAGCACCGAGCAGGAGAGACCAGTTGTGAAGGACCACGTGTGGTGTGAGGCTCTGTAACGGTGTGTCTCGAACAGGCAAATCCATACAGACAAGAAGCAGAGTAGTGGAGGCCCAGGGCTGGAGGAAGGCTGCATGGGATGGGGAGTCACTGCTAATGGGCATGGAGTTTCTTTTTTCTGGAATCATGGGACAGCCTTTGGTCCCAAGCCTGGAAGCTGAAGGAAGCTTCCTGAACTCTTTCCTGACAAAAGAGTAATACTAGGGAGAACTTGCTATGTGCCAAGCACTAACTGCTCTGCATCTATTAACTCATTTATGCTCATGACAGTCTCGGGGGTGGGTACTGTGATCATCCCATTTTGCAGATGAGGAACTGAGACCATGGCCCCGCTGGGGACCGTATCCCTGTTGGGGACTGGCCTTGGTCCCATCAACACCCATTCCTTCCCCAGCTCTTTGCTTTCCTGGGCTTCCTGACCAGCGCCCTGTGGATCAACGCAGCGGCCACGGAGGTGGTGAACATCTTGCGGTCCCTGGGAGTGGTCTTCCGGCTGAGCAACACTGTCCTGGGGCTCACACTGCTGGCCTGGGGGAATAGCATTGGAGGTGACTCGGGGTCGGCTGGGGTTCCGGGATGAGTGCAGCCACGTCACTGCCCGAGTGCACATGAGCAGGGGCATCTAGGGCACCTGCCCTCAGCATGTGCTCAGGCCCACTCTTGTTTTGGAGTGACCATCACTGGGCATCGGGATAAGGTGGCCTGGACTGTACCTGGGCCAGGAGACTAGAGAAGCCCCAGCCTCTTCCCCACTCTCTGCTCCCCAGAGTTCAGGCAGGACACGGAGCCCATTGCAGCCAACCATGCTGAATGTGTACATGGTTGTGTGACACATGCAGGCATTCACACATGCATACGTATACCCTTCTGTAACTATAGCTGCCAAGTAGGGTTGGCTAAGTTGTGCACTGCACAAAAACATCCAGACAAGGAGTCAGGGGGGCTGAAATCTAGCTCTCCTTCCACTCACCTTTTGGGCACCTTTTCCGAATTTGCATAAAGGTGCTGTGCGTGCTAGCAGTAATGGTATGTCACATCCCCAGAGTTGCCCATGGGTGGGAAAGAATGGGGTAGAAAGAATCAAGGAGGGAATTGTGTCATGGGATGTGTCATGGGCGTGGGATGCCCAGCTAACTAGTGCAAGGCCCAGATGGGCATTCCTTGGTGTTTGTTGACTGAATGACTGTGGGTAGCAATAAGGAGTGAATGACCAAAGAGGGCCAGGGGGAGCCACTCACCATTCAAGGTGGTCTCTTGTTTCCATGCAGATGCCTTCTCAGATTTCACACTGGCCCGCCAGGGCTACCCGCGGATGGCGTTCTCGGCCTGTTTCGGCGGCATCATCTTGAGTATCCTTTGTGGGACTGCCTTCCCCGTGGCACGGGCTCCGAGGGCCATGGGTGTGCTCCGTGCCCCACTCCTGGGATTGGCCCTTCCTGGAACACCTGGGGCAGGAGACACAGCTGCTGGGGCCTCAGCTTCCTCATCTGTAAAATGGGGATGTTGAGAGGACCAACCTCAGGTGGGTCGTTGTAAGGACTGAATGAGGTGACAGAAATGCGTGGCACGTGGCAAGCACTCAGTGGATGGCAGATATTACTGTTAGGGCAGTGGCGGTAGACGCCCCCATGCTGAGCTTTCCTGTGCCCTATGGAAGATTCTCTTCCTCTTGCTTACAGATGTTATGGTCCAAAGATGTTAGGGGTTGGCGAGCTTTTTCTGAAAGGGCGAGAGAGTAAATATTTTAGCCTTTGTGGGCCTTACCAACCTCTTTGGCAACTACCTGACTCTGCTGTCATAGTGTGAGACCAGCCATAGGCACTACAGAAATGAATGGGCGTGGCTCTGTTCCAATAAAACTTTATTTATAAAAGCGGACAGTGGGCCAGATGGGGCTGCAGGTTGTAACTTGTAACAGGCAAGCAGCCTGGGGCTGGGAGAAGAAAGGGCTTCGAAAGTAGCTGGTCCTGGCTCCCAGTTCCAGCGCCACCACGTGCCTGCTGTGGAACCTCGGGGCTTTGCACACATCTTACTGTCTGCACCTCGGCCATCTCTGCGCATTCAGAATGGGTTAAGAAGGGGCACAGCACCCAGGGCAGCGCCTGGCACAGGCTGTGTGCCCAGCCAATGGGAGATGCTGTTGGTTGTGAAATAAAGTCATATTATTTGCAAGCACTTGGAGGGCAGCTGTCCCCAGGCTCCACCACGAAAGGGCCTGCAGGCCGAGCCCAGTGCCGGGGCTGGCTGCACAGCACAGCCAGAATGGGCGGGGCCTGGGAGGCGTGCCTGCTGTGTGTCACCCCCCCGGCTGGACAGGGCTTTCTGGGGCCCTTTGCACCCACTGAGACCTGCTCCCAGCTTTTGGGCTGTGGCCTCCCCCGATCCCTCAGGCTGGGGTGGGAAGGAAAGAGCCTTGTCTGGAGCAGGGTCCCCTGAACAACACCTAGAGATGGCCTTGACCTGTGCTCCGTCACCAGCCCCCCAGGGGACGGTGGGTGGTCACCTCGCCCAGCCGCAGGGAAGCCAAGTGCTTAACCACGTACCAAGCACTTCTGTCCCCTCATTCCCTGCTTACAGATCGGGTGCAGAATGCACACTAGACACTCACCTTCCTAAAAGGGCTAACACTGGGTAGGGTCCCCTCAGAGAGGGTGTTTTGGGGGTGGGGGTGCAGAGACCATAAGGAAAGGTGACGGGCATGCAGTTGGGGTGGGGGGGGCCATTGTTCCAGCAAACTTCCTGAGCTGGGCCACAGATCTGCTGGTGGGAGTGGGGCTGGGCTGCCTGCTTCAGATCTCCAGGAGCCACATGGCGGAGGTGAAGGTGAGCGGCCAGACACTTCTGTAAGCGGCTCCTTCTCAGGCAGTCCCCCCGGTCGGAGAGCACTCACATCTCAGCGGCGCATGCTTGCTGGGGAGGGGCGTTGTCTGAATTTGTGACAAGCCCGATTTGTAGAACATTTTAAAAATCTCTTGAGTAGAGGGTTGAAAAAATGTGTTCCTAACAAGTTCATAGAGTAACTAGGATGTCACTTCGGGGAAGGGGCAGGAAGGCCCTGGCTTTAGGTAATGGTCCCCCATCACTTAAGTCTCTTGCTGTGTGACTGTGGGTGAGTTAGGACATCTCTGAGCCTCAGTCTCCTTGCCTGTGAAGTGGGGTTGATGGTCACCCCCCAAGCTTCATGGGTAGACCAGGATGGGGGACTAAGCCCCTGCAGGCGGGAGCCTGGCAGATCTGGAGAAGGTTCTGAGACACCTCAAGTGGAGGTTCTCACGTTTCCAGGATGCCCAAGAATTTCCTGGGGGTGCGTGAGACCTCCGTTCCCAGGCATTCCAGGGGTGGGACCTGGAAACCTGCATTTTAAAATAAGCTCCCTGGGGACTGATGAAGGTAGGTCACTTGAGAAAGCCTGTTCTAACAGGTTGAAAACCCCAACACTTGCCGGGGCCGGGAAGGTAACCGAAACGTGTAGGTGACTCAGGTGGGCCTCACGTGGCCAAATACTCCAAATTTTCTAGAGAAGAAATCAGGATTCCTAGGGGAACTTTTGCTAGTCTCAAATACTGCACTGCGTTGCGCATCGGGCATCTCTATTCTGAAGGACCTGAATTCAGAGACCAAACAAGAGAAGGATTATGATGGGGATGGGGAAGGGGGGGCATGGCCTCGGGGGATGGTTTGCAGGCTCCCTCCCCTCCTTGGAAGAGCACTTGGGGTCCTGTGAGGCTGAAAGATGGCGATATTAATGGGAACAGTCACCCACTCTCTCTCGGCTCTCGATGGTGACAGGGGTGACGATGGTGGGACTTGTGGCTGGCTTATAATTAGCTGGCATGGGGCCAGCCTTTGGCAGTGGCCACGCCCACAAGCAAATAGCTACTTACTGCTTGGAAAGTTTGCTTTGCTTTTCTTTAAATAGACGATCCTTTTTTTTTTTTTTTTGAGGGGGGAGGGGCAAAAGGAGAGGGGGAGAGAGGATCTTAAGCAGGGGCTCGATCTCACAACCCTGAGATCCTGACCTGACCTGAAGTCCAGAGGCAAGAGTCGGGTGCTTCACCGACTGAGCCACCCAGGCACCCAGGAAAGTTTGCTTTTCTAAAAGGTAAACACCATTGGCAAATTTTGTTCATGGGTTTCATAGGTTGCCTTCATTATCAGTTCCCAGGCAGTTGCAGATAAGGAGGCTTTAGGGTTGGCTTTCTTTCTAACTTTCTCTTGCTCTTTGTGGAGCATGCGTGCATGCGTGTGTCTCTGCATTCCGCTGCCTTTCTACTGAGTTTACAAAATGCTCCCGCTGTAAATTAAGACACAGGGCATCAGGGAAGGTCATCAGGGAAGGATGGCTGTGGGTTGTGTGGGGTGGAAAACACAGGTTGCTCTCAAATGCTACGTAGTGTGCAATTCCATTTCTGGTTTCAGAATTGCTGTGCAGGTCTGGTGTGTGTGTGTGTGTGTGTGTGTGCAGATACGTCACTGTGTGGGGAGGAAGGATAGGGTATCCTTGAGAGCTTGGATGTCGATGTGGGCTCTGTCCCTCCCTCATTAGTTTGCTCGTCTGTGCATTGGGGGTAATGGCGCTCCCCTCACAGGCGGATGGGAAGATGAGAGGCTAGATGGTGTGGGTAACACACCCAGCACACTGCCCAGTGTGCGGTTAGACAAACGTTAAGTCTGGAAGGAAGGGAGGTGGGGAGAGGACAATTTCACTTTTTTTTACTCCTCTGTATGGCTGGCTTGAGAAGTTTTCGGCATCTGCATGTAACGTGGGTATGTAACCTCCTGTATTAGTGTCCTAGGGCTGCCACGACAAATGACCCCAAGTTAGGGTGCTCAAAGCAGGAAACTTCACGGTGGGGCATGGCCAAGGGGGCCAGAAGTCCTGCCCTGGCCCCTAGCGAGGGGCGGGTGACTGGTGGCTGCTGTGACTGGGCCTCTCCCCCCTCCCCCCCCATTGCCCCCACAGCTGGAGCCAGATGGACTGTTGGTGTGGGTCTTGGCGGGCGCCCTGGGCCTCAGCCTCGTCTGCTCCCTGGTCTCGGTCCCACTGCAGTGCTTCCAGCTGAACAAAGTCTACGGCTTCTGCCTGCTCCTCTTCTATGTGAACTTCCTCGTGGTGGCCCTGCTGACAGAATTTGGGGTGATTCACTTGAAAAGTGCGTGAATGACGCCATGTGTCCGGGGCCGCCTGGTGGCCAGGAGGTGTCACTGCAGGCGGCGAGATGGACGGCTGGCCTGGGTGGCTGTGAAGGGGGTGGCTGGGGGCGGCGGGGACCGCTGCCTCTGCTGGAGGTTCCTGGCTGCCACCTGTGCAGGGAGAACAGCTAGGCCTTGTTTCTGGGACATCGGAGACCCGGCTGTGCTGTGCACAGAGCTGCAGACAGAAGGTAGACTTCCTTGGATTATCCGTGGAGCCTCTCGGAGGCTGAGTACCAACAGAGTGTTCTAGGGCCTGTAGTCATGCCCTGCTGCCTTCCTGCATCTTCTCCTGAGTGCTCACTCAAGACTGCTGTCAACCCCGGGCTTAGGGTGTCAGGGCGACTCAGATGGCGGGCAGAACATGGTGGGCGTCCGGCCATCCCGGGCTGTGTCCTAGAGCTGTCCCGTCTGACAGAAATGAAACGTGAGACACATACCGAATTTTGAAATTTCTAGGCGCCACGTTAATAAAAGCCAAAAGAAACAGGCCCTATATTATATGTATTATTCAGTGGCTCCAAAATAGCAGCGTATGGCACTGGCCCCATTATGGCCACCATATTGGACGGCACAGCTCCAGCCTCTACCTCTCGAACTGTCCGCTGGCTATTGGCTGACTCCCCCGTGCCCTGAACCTCGGGTTTCCCCAGCTGTGAAACAGGCATCAGTTGGACTGTGCCCTGTCCTCCCTCAGGGGGAGCCCAGGGCCGGGGTTCCAACGCCCGGAAGCTCCAGGGAGGACGGAGAGAGTGCTCCCCAGTGCCTTCCTGCTGTCAGCTACGGACCTGCCTTTTCAAGGAGCAACCGTTCAGTTTGCCCTACTGCCTTCTGTCAGCAGCTGCAGCAAAGCAATTCAACTTATTTTTTCCCCCCAGTGAAAAAAATGATTAAATATTTCAAGTGTACTGAAAGCAGCACACCCATCTTTTACCAGTTCTTCCTTACCTGGGCCAGGTGAGGAGGGGCTGGTTCCAAGGCCAAAGGCTTGGGCCTGAGGTGGGGTCAGGAACAACCACGGATGGGACCTCGCCCCTTTCCCCCGCAACCCCCCGCAGTGCCAGAAGCCATAGGATGTCACTTGGTGGAAGTCACGAGGCGGCAGCCACGTTTACAAAGCAGAGGCTTTTTTATTAATATGCCGGAAATCTGGAGACACAGTGGGTTTTCCAGGTAACAAATCACCAATGTACAAAACCTTACAGCGTTGCTCCCTCTATCCATACAAAATGATTGTCACGTGGTGTGGAGTAAGGCTGGGTTGGGGGAGGGAAGCGAGGAGGAGGGACCAGGTGGCGTCCCCCCCACCCCCAAAGCGGGGCGGGGGCACAATGCCATCACGGCCAAGGGCAGGTTGGTAAGGTTGCCCTTGGTTTCATTCGGCTAGGACATGGGTGGTGAGAGGGCATCTGAGCTGGATGATGTCCCAGGTCCCTCAGATCTCACAGGCCTGGGTGACCCCGAGGGGCCAGCTTGTCCTTAGCCTCAATGACAAGGGTGCCCTCTCCTGACCGGGGTCTGGCCTGCAGCAGGACTGCCGCTGCATTCCTCCCATCTAGCCAGAACCAGGGCCTTTCTCAGAGGACAGGGCTGGAGGGAGGACTAGATCTGACCTGTCCTGGTACCACCCCCCACACCAGGGGCCTCAACTGCCCTGGCACCCCTCCCTGGTTCACCAGGGGAAGGGACTAGAATGAGGCTCAAACACTCAGGGCAGAGGACCTATCCTCCTTTGAAAGCTGTCCCTTGACTCCTGATTCCAGAATACCCATTTCAACACACAAATGCTAAAAGGCACCCAATTGTGCAAACAAATAAAAATTCCTTCTCTGGAGAGGGCAAGGGGTTCTGGCCTGGGGCTCGGTGCAGCAGGGCTGCGGGTGTCCAGAGACAAAGCGGACAAGGCCAGGCTCCTGATGCCCCGTGGGGATCTCCCTGGTTCACTGTTTCCCCAAAGGGCTGTGCTTTAAAAACAGAAACAAACGTCCACCACTTCTCCCCTGGTGAGGGGCACAGCCGTGCAGTGCTGGCTCTGGAATCAGCCCCTCCAGGGCCACCCTCGAGAAGCCTTGGCCTTGGGGATGGCCGGGGAGAGGCGGTGGGGGAGCCAGCATGGCTCCCCTGGGATCAGGCCATACCCTGCTAGGAGGGCGTGGCAGGGGAGAAACTTCTGCCCACCCACCTTCCTAAGTTCTGGGAGGCAGTGGAGGCATCTGGAAAGCTGGGGTCAGACCAGGATGCCCAGCGGGGGCTGCTTCCCCTGCCCCCTGCCAACCCCTTTCATCCCACTGCCTCCTGCACCGTGCTCGGTTTGCAGCCCAGCGGAGCTGAACCAGAGCTCCCTCTGTTCTGGCCCTGCTTCTCTGCTGCCAATGCCAACAGCGCTCACTGGGGCTGCCAACCCCAACGCCTGCTCCGGATTCAAGCACCGGTCCTACCCCAACCCTGCTGATCTCAGGAGAACCCCCACAAGATATAGGGGGGACTCGGTTAACTGAGGGCTCACCTGAACATAGCTGTGCCAGTGAAGAACCCTGGGGCAAGCCGGGTCCCCATTCTGGCCTCAGTGGAGTCCACGGACGGGACTGCTCAAGGTGGGTTCAGGGGGCGGGGGGAGCTGTCCCAGTGGACAGGCAGGGGCTCAGCCGCAGGCCTGCCGTGGACCTCCCACGGTGAGCGTTTGCTCCATGCACCCCTTCCCAGCAGCAGAACCTAATGCACAATGTGAAGGATCTGCCACTGTCTTTAGCAGAATCCTGTAACCAAGATGTCTCTGCCGGAACAAGATAATCACAAGGAAAAGGGTTCTAGTGGCGAAAGCCCATCTCGGGAATGGGTCGGGTAGCCATTAGCCCGGCCCTCTTGCTTGCTTTCCTCCACCTGAGAGTCTAAAGGAGGCCATTTTAGAAGGATCTGCAGCAACAAGGGTTAAACCAAAGGAAGTGTGGGAGAGAAGGCTTACAGAGCCAGGATGTGAAATTTGCGTAATCACATGCTATCTCGTGCTGCCCAGCACTGGCTGAGATCCGACCGCATGGGTGTGATCACACCCCTTGAATATTCTATCCATTAGGTCCTAGGGACTGGTCCCCCAAGGAAATGTTCTATTATATTATCATATCTATAGAAATACTAACCCACATCCTAAGTGGTTTTGTCCCTAAAGCAGGCCAGACACCCCGTGACGCGGGCCGCAGGGAAAGCTAGTGGGGAAGCGGCCGGCTGGGACGTGGGGGTGAGAGCAGCACTGGGAAGACGGTGCGGATCTGGCCTAGGGAGGGCTGGCCCACTTTGAAGGTGAGCCCTGCAGAGATCGGCAGGATCTATCCAAGTGGTCTTCTGAAGAGGCCTTCTGGAACTTTCCACATTAGGCAGAGCTCACGGCAGCCTGATCCCCCCCAAACCAGAGTGACCTCTGGGGTTAAGAAAAACAGGGCAGGGTGGTTACACACCAAACCCCATCTTGTTTTTTTCTCTTCCTATATATAAATATGTGCATATATATGAATGCGTGTACGTGCACACACACACACGCATTTTTTTCAATACGTTGTAGTAAAATAATACTCGTGTTATTGCATAGAAGAGATGGCTGTCGTGCTGGGGCTAGGTGACGGTCTGGGAGCGCTGGCGGCCGCCTGGGGGCTGCCGGGTGGCGGGGACCTGGCCGCTGCCGATGAGCTGTCCCTGCCGCTCCTCCTGCTCCCGGGCGTGCTCCTCGTACCACTCCTAGAGCAGAGCGCAGACGGGGCGCTGAGCGGGCGGCACCCCTCCCAGCCAGCCCCGCGCCTGCCCCAGCCGGAAGAGCCCCCGCCCCACCCTGGGGCACACAGTGGCAGCGGGAGCCAGCCTCACTCAGGACACCCCCGGGCCTGCGGGGAATTCTGCGTGTGGCCCAAACAGAAAAAAATTACCGTGAAATCTTTCCCTTGTTAGAGGTTTGCAAGCCTCCTTATAAATATTCTCCTTGGCACATACCATCTCTTTGAGCGAGGCCCAGGTAGTCATAATCATCCTCTGTTTGATTGTGAACATAATCTTTTGTCCTTCACAAAGGGATTCCCCGGTGTTACCCTTTCGAGCTTGGCAGGAACCGTGTCATGATACACCCGAGAAAACCGAGGCTTAGAAGTTGTATGAAGCTGGATGAAGTTGAGAGCCTCTCCTAACTCCCACATTGCTTTTGCTGCCCTCCAATAAGGCTGTGAGAGCATTTTGCAAAAAAAAAAAAAAACGTAACCCACCAAAGGCCCATACTGTTTTGTCACCTGACATTTTCTGAGACAGGTGATTGAGGAATCAGAAAAGCTACCTTAGGTGTTTAAAGAATCTGAGCCACAGGACTTGGGAGCTTAAACAAGACTGAGACGGCCTTCCTTCTGTGCCCCCTCACTGTACAGAGGGGGACACTGAGGCCAGGAGTGGACAGACGGGCAGAGGACAAAGGAGAGCAGCAGAGTGCATGCCCACGTTGGAGCCATCTTCTCTGCGTTGTGAGCCAGAGACTGTCCCCCTTTCATAGGTGTGAACAGACTGAGGGACGTGCCCAAGGTCACAGAGCCAGCAATCAAACCCAGGTCTCATGACGCCGAAGTTCATGTGAGTTTCACATCTCTGTGGCCCCAGTTTCACGAACCACTATGTGTCTGTACCCCTTGTGTTCTCACAGAGAATGTGAGTCAGCTTGGCATGCTATAGCCTCCCTGCCTTCTGGGCGAGGACACTGGTCGTCACTGTCCCAGTGAAAACAGAGGGTTTCTGGCTGTTAGGATGCCAGAAACAGCAGAGTCACGATGGGTGGCGTGGGAGACTCTCCCCTGAGCCCTGGGCCCCGGAGGCTGAACGGAAGACCCAAAGCAGAGCTCAGAGCGTCCTGGTGGCCTGCACTCTGTGGGTTCTGTCTGGAATGCAGGATGTCAGCCCACATGGTGCTTTGCAAGATCGTTTACCTAGCTCCCAATGTGGAAAGACAGGGAGATTTTACTAAAAAAAAAAAAAAAAAAACATGGTGCTTTGCAAGATCGTTTACCTAGCTCCCAATGTGGAAAGACAGGGAGATTTTACTAAAAAAAGAAAAAAAAAAAAATGGACTTCTCCCTTCTCTTAAATTAGAACAACCACAAAAAAAACCTCAACAGCCAAAACACCCAAGGGATCCAAGGCCCCAGGAGAACCTGATGGCCCCGAGAAGAGGCTGCCCTCTCTGATGAGCCCGGCCCTTGCTAGCTCTCCGGGGCCTGCACCCCCCTCTTGCCCATGACATCTCCTGTTGAACATGCCACACTTGTGGCTCTGGCTCAGAGTAAGAAATCGGGATAGGTTCTGGAGAATGCTCAAGGGGCAAGGCCGTATGGGAGAGCTGCTCGTGTTGGGGAAGGACCTGCCCAGTGCTACATCCGACACCACTGGCAGCGGTCCAATGGAAGGCCCCGATCCCTGCACTGAGCCTCCCCGACTCCACACTCAGGGTAGGGACAGGACGGTAGCCCCCTCTCAGCAGCAGGGAGGCCCACCCCCAGGCAGGAGCTGGGGGTGAGGGTCTAGGCAGCGGGCGCAGGGGCACGCCTACCTGAATCTCTTCTTGGTACATCTTTAGGCTCAGGTCACTTTTGGTCCTTGATCTGCGTCCCAGAAACACCACGGTGTTTTGCTAAAAAAGAACGGAGGCTTAGGATCGGTCCGAGCGGGGGCCCTGGTGCCCTGCCTCAGCTGGCTTGAGGGGATGACAAGTGGGGGAGGCCCTCCACTAAGCCAAAACCTGTCCCCTCCACTGGAGGCGGCCCTGAGGCTCCTCACCTCATGTCTCTCCATCTGGGAGAGGACCTTGAGCAGCCGGGCGATGTCCGAGGTGGCTCCTCGCACCTCCCGGTAGAGCTCCAGGACAGCAACCAGCTCATCTTTGGAGATTTCCTTCTCGAGGGTGATGCCACCATCAACTGTAAGAGGGGAGGCCAGGGCTGGGAAGGAGCCTGGGGCTCAGAGCCCCCTGATCTGGCTTGGTCTGGTTCAGCCCTCCTCCCTGTGGCCCCAGCAGGCATCCTAAGATTCCCTCTCCAAACAAACCCGCATCAGCACGACGCGCCCCCCCACCTCCTGCCATCTGGCACGCACGTCCCTTCCCCTCCCTTTGCTGTGGGTGCCAGGGGCACTGGTTGGGACAGCAGCTTATAGGGGACAGAGGGTTTCGGCAGGGAGTCTCAGCCAAAATGGTCAGATGGCCTGATAAGACAGAGATTTGGAAACAACAAACAGGTATGTGGTGGCTCTGATGGAGAATCTGGAAGGATCAGTACGCACAAAGCTCTGCACCTTGGCATAGGCAAGGCCATTATCCAGCTGCGGTCATCCAGTTGCAGAAGGATGAACTACTGGTACGACATTTACACCCTTTAGAACCACACTGTGACCATGTGATTTAGAGATGCGGAGGTCACAGCGAAAAGGACAGCCAGCTATGGATGACAAGTGTCTGGAGGCGTGGGAGGGCGGGGCGGAGGGCTGCTGTGTTCACAATAGGCCTTTCTCTGCTCTGCGATTCTTCTAATCTCGGGCAAGGACTATTTTTATTTTGAACATGAGATCGAGAGCATTCTTCCGTCATTAAGTTATTTGAAAAGCAATGCACACGAGAGAGGTAACAGATACACCAGACAGACATGCTGAACTGCCAGAAGCCTGGACAACCAGACAGCGGGACCGGACAGCCAGACAGTGGGACTGGGCAGCCAGACAGCCGACAGCTGGGCAGCCGACAGCCGGGCAGCCGACAGCCAGGCAGCCGACAGCAGGGCAGCCAGCCAGACGAGCAGCGGGAAGGCTCTGGCCATGGCTGCTTTTGCACAGACCTTCCGAGTCCTGGTTCTTGCGGCTGTAGTTCATTCGGAAGACGAAGGCCTCGAGGATGAAGGCAACAATGATGGTCATCACCACCTGGCCGGGCGCAGAGAGCGGGAGGGCGGGCATGTGAGCCACTGCGGGGCCTGCACCCAGCAGAGCCCGGTCAGATGCTGACGCCCGGTCCCAGCTCCTCCTCCCCGGGCGGCCACCCACCAGGCAGGGGCAGCTGGAGACTCTGGGTGATGAAGGGCAGAGAGTGTGGCTGGGGACCTACCATGGTCACGATGTAAAAAGTCATGAAGTAGAGGCGGCTCCAGTGTGAGGTCTGAGAGGTGACACCTTCCTGGAGACACAGGGGGCAGCCAGTGAGTGGGCACTGGGGCAGGGCCAGGTCACTGTGCACTTGGGCCACTCCATGGTCCCCCACTGGGGGGGGACTTTACAGACCCTGCCCAATCTGCCCCGGGGGTGTGGCAGACACAGGAGGGGGCCCTCACTCCCACGGTCTAAAAATTCCTCTGTGGTGCATGAGCCCTGGATGCTCCCCAGGGTAGCAGGGTTCAGGACTGACATGGGCAGTCTTTGTCCCAAGCAGGGGTGGAAGACTTGGAAGAATTTAAGGAATGGAAAACCAAACCCAACAACCCTTGCCACACTGTTTCTTGACAGCAGTGGAAAAAGGACAGAGACCCACAGGCTAACTGGCATCTCCGGGCCGCTAGGGGATGTGGTGGGGGGAGGCAGGGACAGAAGCAAGTCTAGCAAACACAGAGGGGTGGCTCCTGGGGCCCAGCCCGCACCGCAGGCTCTCTGCAGAACCCCAACCCTGTGTGACCCAGGCCCCCAACCCCAACAGGGAACAGAAGAGCGAGGCATCCCCTTGGGGGCCAGGCAAGGCCAGAGCTGGTCTCAGAGGATGGTGGGAAGATGCCCCCAGGAGTTGACCAAGGTCCTTACCATAATGATGTACCAGTTGTTGACAACTGTAAGCTCGAACAAGGTCACTGCCAAAGGGAAGGGGGAATGAGGAGTGTTTCAGTCACACTCACTTTTTCCAAGTCTGTTTCAAGTGGCCTCTCTCTGCCTATCTTGGGTACCACGCACCTAGATGGTAGTGTCCCCGTCTGCCAGCTTGGACTGTGTGTTCCAAGCCTCCCCGACCCCGGGCCTGAGCGCACACCTCGTAGGGAGTGCTGCCATCTTGGCCTGTCCCCCAGAGGGCGTGCCTCTGCCTCAGCAGCCTGTGACCAACCAGGGCTGGGGGCGGGCCATGGGTGTAGAGCTGGGATCCCACGATGGGCTCCCCTTCCTCTTGAGCTGTGTCCTGCCCCGGCCCTGGCACTGGCCTCTCCGTGGAACCCACGTGTGGGCCCGAGCTGGGGGCTGGGGTGAGTGCAGGGCACTGTGGCGAGCTAGTGTGGCTGTCTCAGCCTGCAACTGTGGGGTTGTGACTAGGTGGGGGGGGTTCCCTAGCCTCACGCTGTCCCCCTCCCAGCAGAGCATGAAGCACCTCTGCTCCCAGGAATGAAACCTGGTGGGGAGTGGGTGCTGGGATCTGGCCTGCACCCCTGCGGCAGGGCAAACCATGGGCCCCACTGAGGCTCCAGAAGACTCAGGAAAGTGTCGCCAACAGCTCGGACTGGGGAGGCCTCCGATAGCTCTGCTAGGCCACGTCTGGGGCCCACGGTGACCAAGGCAGTGTCCCCGGGACTGTCCCGCCTGTGGCCTCTGCACTCACCGAAGCTGTTCAGGATGTTGTCAAAGTTATTGAGATAGTAGTAGCCTTCATCCACAACGGTCTTATTGCCCACGGTGCGACTGAGCCAGCGGTAGGCGTCAGCCACGGTGCTGGTACTGGCCAGGGAGACAGAGGGGCAGGGGGAAGGTCACAAGAAAACCGGTCACCTCGACAGAGGACAGAAGGCTTAAGCGAACAAGGCTCTGACCAGGGAGCCGCCGTCCTGGCCCAGCCCCCAGCTCTCTGGCCCACCTTCCTGGCTCAAGGGAGGCCCTCGGCTCCTCTCACTGGCTGGGCATTGCTGGGGACTCCTAGGCTCGCCCCCTGCTCATCTGCGTCCCTCTGGCATTTCTCTGCTACCAGCAAAGCCGTCTCCCTCCCAGCTACCGGAGGGAGACGCTAGCAAGGGAGAGAAAGGCGGTGTCTCCCCTGGTTCTCCCCATCTGCGACCCCATGCGGGGGAGAGTTCCTTGCCGGGCTCACCCCAGCACCAGGTGGGAGTGCTCCGAAGGGCTGCCCCTGTTCTGAGAGCTTATTTGCGGCTTTCCTTCCAGTCCTTTCTGGCTGCTCTGTTAACATTCATGCTGACGTTTCTACCCGTCTGGTCCTCGGGCCCCCAGGGAACTTGTTCAGAGGGCAGAGTCCCGGGCCTCGTGTGGCTCTGGCCCATGGTGGAGTCTGTGGCCCATGCTGTCGGCCTCTGGTTCTGAGCTCAGCCCGACACTCAAAATGGCTGCCAGCGTCTTTGGAAGGAGTTTGTGCTTGAGGCCTCACAGGCTAAATTTTGAAGAGAACACTGTGACTAGAGAATTAACACCAGAGCACACTGCTTTCGTCGTGGCGGCTTGGAGGAAGGGAGAGGTCACGGGAGCTTGTGCTCCCCATGCTCTACCCCTGCCCCCAAAGGCCTTCCTGTGGGTGTCCATCGGCCTAATGCTGCCAGGCGGCCCGAGCTGATGTGTCTGCCGAGTCCCCACCGTGCGCAGAGAAGTGGGAGGAAGCCATAGGACTCGGGCCTCAGGCCACTCCTGGTTCGGGGGAGGCCTTCAGACCTCAGCCCGAAGGGCGAGGGGACGGAGGCCTGCTTGGGGACGGGGAAACCTGCTCAGATGTCCTTGCCTCACAGATAGCCCTCTGATTCCAGGTCCCTCACTTAGCTATCATACTCAACTAAGCCCCCAAAAGCAAAGCAAAGTGATTCCCAGGGCTTTGAAGGGTGCTGGGGCTCGGAGAGGTGTGTCCCTGCGGCCCCCGAGACTGTGGGGGACCCGCTCGGCAGGGCTAGGGGCAGCGCGCCAGTCCTGGCTTGGGTCCTCCGGAAACATGGAGGGCGTGGGCAGGGCCAGGCCCCACTGCGTACTCACTTGCAGCAGTTGGGGTAGAGGATCCCACAGAAGAATTCCATGCCCACGATGGCGAAGGAGTAGTAAAAGATGAGCAGGGTGAGGCCCAGGCTGGGGAGGAGGGTCAGAAGGGACAGGGTGACTGGGCGTCAGGCAGGAGAGACCAGCGCCTCCAGCAGCCCCAGCATCCTCAGACCCACTGCGCTGACTGACGGACAGGCATGCCCCTAGCCAGGTTTACCAACTGGAAAGTGCCTGCAGGGAAGGGGCCTCGTGATTCAGGTCTGGGGTCAAAAACGGCTCGAGTCAGGACTCTATTAACAGATGCCCCTTTACCAGAGATTCACCCCTTACCTGTGAAGGTAGACTCACAGGTGACCCCTTACCTGTGAATGTAGACACAGGTGGTAAGTGAGTTGACAGCTCCCTGCCCTCCCTACTAAATATTTCAGACAGGTCAGTGGAGAAAAGTGGTACCAGGGAGACCTGTGGTGGTCAACATCTCAGTCTCCTTGGAGACCCGCCAGACCCTCGATGTCAGTCCTTTCCGGGCCGCCTCCTCTCCCCCGACTACCACCCAGCTGCCCCCCCGGGGGCACAAGCCTCGCGGCACCTGGCCCTGGGGGCCCAGAGGCAGGACCGTACCTGGCCATCCGGGGCAGCAGCTCAAACATGGTATCCAGCACGTTGCGGTAGCGCTTTTTCAACTTAAACAACCTGAGGGAAGAGACCGGGGGGCCCTCAGACGTTGGCATGGCCACAGCCCTGCTCCCCGGCGTGGGCGGGAGGGGAAGGCCCGGGGCCTCTTGCCCACCATGAGCCCTGCTGCCGGCCTGGGGGCATCTCACTGGTCTCCTTCTTGGGGGAGGCAGGCATTTACCAAGACAGCCAGGAGGCCCTGAGAGGGGCAAGGCCTTGCTCAGCACAGTGAGGCAAAGCCCAGAAAGAAGGGAACAGAAGCCACGCCTGCAGACGAGCCAGGTGCATGGCGGCTCAGCGGCTTGGCAGCCAACAAAGGGCCGCCTTGTATGGGGAGGAAGCGGACATTCCCCCAACCCCGGCCCCCACCACTGGGGCATGGCTCTGGGTTCTTCCAGAGAGATGCTGCCCCCGACCGCCATCCCCACCTCCACCTCTCCTCCCAGGAGGGACACGTATGGGATCGGGGCGGGATACACACAGGGAGACCCAGGCTTCTGAAGACACCAAGAGCTCCCGACCCCCAGGTGGTAAGGGGTGGTCCGTGGGCAGTGCCTTACTGATTCCCCACAGTCGTCTCTGCGGAAAAGGTGAGACCCAGGGAGGGTTTTTCTTGACAAGACGCTGTGTCAGAAAAGCCTGGGGGCCCCTCAAAAACTCCCCTTGCACCCTCGGAGGCTGTGGCCTTCTGGTTTATGAGTCTGAGCACATGCGTCTCTGTGGCTGCAGACCGAGGTCACCCGCGCTGTGGGCCAGGTTTCCCCTCCACGGTCAGAGGCAACCGTCCCCGGGATGTGAGAAGGCGGGCAGGCCGCATGCCCCCCACAGGTGGAGACGGGCTGGGCGCCTCTGCAGTGGGGTGCGTCTCTGACACCAGGCTCATTAATCTTCCGGTGCCCTCCTGCCACTTCCCAGACCAATCCCAAGGCTTTCCCCGCCCTGCCCCTGCCCCTGTCACCTCAGCAGCTGGAGGGGACGCAGGACCACTATGAAATAAAAGGGCTCCATGTTGAAGGCCAGAGCCAGGAGTCCCAGGAAGGCGAACACCGTGACCGAGAAGTCGAACCTGGGAGGGAGAGGGAGAAGCCGCGGTCCATTCGGCCTGCACGGGCCCGCCTCTGTCCCGCAGCTCCCTGCTCCCCAGCCCTGCTCTCAGTGCTCCCTTCCAAGGGGCCCACATGCGGACCCCAGCAAGAGCCTGCAGCCGCACAACTCAGGAAGCAGCTTCCTGCTGCCTTGGGGTTTCTGAGGCCGGCTTGGCTGGACCCCCAGGCACAGCACACAGAGCAGGGATCAGAAATGCCCAGAAACCCCCCTCCCGAAGGTCCTGCACTGGTCTAATAGCAGACGTCGGGTTACATGGGTAACCTCTGACCCCAATGAGGTTACTGAGGGAAGGGGCAGGATGGGCAGTCGGATCCCCCCAAGGCCAGCCAGCCAGCCCTGCTGGAGACAGGGGGCCTTCTCTCCTCTGCAGACACCCATGGAGACTCTGAAAACAGAATGGTGCACGTCCCCCTACTGCTCTTCCTTGACTCTTCTCTATCTGCCAAGACCAAGACCTCATGAGTATAGCCTGATTTCGTGGGTGAGTTCACTTAAGTGGGCGGTAAGTGGCCTTGGAGGTATCTATGGAATGGGGACAAGAGCCACTCGGGTCTCTTCACCACCCCCGGCTAGCGGCTGACCAAGGTGGGTGGGAGAAGCTTCCTTCTCTGTCGGAATCATGGTTTTTATGGAGGAGAAAAGAGCGTAGTTGCTGGCGATGGGTGCAGGCACTAAAGGACTAGTCAGAGCCAGCCGGCCTAAGGACCCTTAAGAGGCCATGTCTAGGAGGAAGGGGCAAGGGGGGCCTGATGCTGGTGAGTCCCAGAGCCACATGCAGAACTGCTCCAGCAGACAAAGGCCTTGTCCCTGTCCTTGGCCCCTCCTCCTGCCACAGCAGGCCACGGTGCATGCTGTGGGTGTGTAGGGAGAGGACCCGCGGCTCTCGCAGTCTCGGACATGGTTAAGAAACGTGCACTCCACTCACAGATTCCACCCAGAGGACAGGTATTCCACGGGGCCAAGGCCAGCAACCTTCAGGAACAGCTCCACCCCGTAGACTGGAAACAGGAGGAGGCAGTTAGTAGAGGCCCCGCCCCCAGCCCCGCCCCCAACTGGCCTGGCTCCGTTTCCGCTGAGGCTCTTCTGAGGTCTCCAGCCTCCCCTCCCCAGGCCAGTGTTTAAGACAAGCAGTTCAGCAAAGCCACGTTCAGAAACCTACTAGTCAGAAAGACGACGTAACTCCAGGGCACGTGCTTGGAGAAGAAGTTCCCGCCTGTGAGACAAGAGGCGGGAGGTCAGGTGGTGGGGCCTGACGTGCCCGCAGAACCAGCCGGTCCCCCAGCCAGGGCTCACCTTTCAGCATGAAGGTCTCCACAAGGATCCAGACCCCGTTGACTGCCACCACCAAGTCTGCAAACAGGCCCATAATAGAGAAAACACAGATGGGTGTGCAAATAGAGAGTTCACAGCGGCAGCCCCCCTGGCTACCTTCCTGGCAGCCCCCGGGAGATGCTCCACACACCCATGTGACGGATGGCTTCCTTCCGCTTAGTGCTTTTACATGAGCTACATCAGCCAGTGGTTTCACTTAGAAAATGGCCACAGGTTTCTAAAAGCATGCTCTATGTCACTGTAGGGATACCAGCTGTTTTTCAGTAAAACCCACAGGCCATTCCAAGTTGGTGTAGAAGATGCTTGAGTATTAAAATGGTTGCTCTTCCCCAGAGACAGGTGATTTTAAGATGACTGCATGAGCTAGTTAGCAAAATGACATATTCATTTGGCCTTTTACACACGCATCCCAGTTCTAGTGAGCCACCCCTGTGACATACTAGCAAAACACAAAACAATGTGTCCTGCAAGCCATTTGCTGGAGAACTGATAGTGAGAGCAAAAATCTAGAAGTGCCCTAAATGATCAACAGGGGACTGGTTGGATCAACTATGACACGTTCATGAAATGGTGAAGTATCAACTCTAAAAAGAAATGAGGAATATCTCTCTATATTGATGGGGAGTGGTCTCTGGGATATATTGTTAACTGAAAAAAACAAGGTGGGAAAAAGTGTATATAAAGTATGCTACCATTAAATTAAGACAGGGGGATAGGCATATATGTGTATCTACTTATAGTTTTTAAAAAATGGAAGAAGAAACCAAAATAGAAGTTACCCATTGGAGGAGGTTTGACAGGATGTAAATGAGATATCCTTAAATATACTTTGTTTTGTAGATCTGACTTGGAACCATACGTAGACAATTTACATAAGTATAAAACAAAGTTAGATGTAAAAAAAGCAATCCCTGAAAATCAAAAATAAAATGAAATAAAGAAACTTAAATGTGTGTCCAGTTGGTGACACCCCCACGTGGAGAAAGGACCACTACAGGTGACCTTGACACGTGTCATGTGAATGCATGTCCCCAGAGGGATGTTCTAGTCACTGTGTTGCTGGGACCGTGTTGGGATCACTGTCTGGAGACAGTTATGAGTCTAATGTGGGGTACAGCAAATGAGTAACTGCGTGAGTGGTGTTGGGAACCAGGATTTTAAGACGGCGGGGGGGGCGGAATCTGGATATGAAATAATGAGAATGTTCGGTAAAAACACAATAGTCCTGAATTTGAATTAGAAAAGTGAGGATAAACTCCCGATATGGTTTATCTTTAAAAACAAAATCCTACCTCTGTCCATGGAAAGGCCTAGAAGTAATAACCAACTCCAAGCTGTGAGCACCTTTAGCATTTCAAACTGTGGTGTCTAAACACCATTTCCCACTAAATGGAACCCGAGCTCCTTAGAAAGACTGAATCCCACCAGGCCATTAGTACTGTCCAAGAGGACTTCCCATGACAACGGAAATTCCCTCCTCTGGGCTGTCCAACTGGTAGTCACATTACAACTGGTAGTCATTAGCTTTTTGTGGTGACTGAGCACTTGAGATGTGGCTACTGTGGCTTTTTTCATTTTAGTTGCTTAAATTTAAATAGCCACACATGGCAAATTGCTACCACACTGGACAACACAACTCTAGATGTAACTACCAGACGACGGGAAATAAACAACAGAGGAACATGTGAAAACAAGACTGAAGGCCAAACAGTCCCGTTTCTTCAACTCACTGTCACAAGACGGAGAAAAGGGACGGAAGAGAAACCTACAGACTGAAACCAACTTAAGTGACGGAGCAACCAACCGCATCCTGTGGTTCTGAAATCTGCTTCCAAAATCTCCAGGTCTAGGGAGGGGATGATGAGCCACAGTGAGGGTACAGATGGACAGAATGACTGGCCATGGGGTGACAGCCATTGAAACTGGGTGATGGGTACGTGGATGCTCATTATCCTCTTCCCCACTTTTACACATGCTTGGAATTTTCTATAATAAAAAGTCAACCACATGGCTGCAGGGCTAATCTCTTGCCTGTCCACCTTCTGGAACGGTAAAAGACCCAGGCAGGATGGGGCCTGGAGCTATGGTATTTCTCACTTACACATGAAATACTGGAAGGCCTTGGACTTCACAAGGATATTAATTCCTATTTGAAGAGAAGAAATGTTAACATCAAAATCTTCATTTGCAAGGACACTTTCCCCGACCACACACTTCGCACACGTGAGCAATCAAGGTGTTTATGCCCAGGGGTGAGGAAGGAGGGCGTGCTCTGAGAGTGACCCCACGCTTGTGCTCAGGCAAGACCACACAGCCAACAGCTGTTCCGGGGAGAGCCCGGCAGCTCGGAGCCAGGATGCAGCACAGCGAAGTTTTGCTGGCCACGGCTAACCTTAACTTGCCGTTGGCCTCGACCCGGGACTATATTCATCCACTTGAGTAACTATCCCTCCATGGAATGGAAAACCCTCTAAAGAATATGGACTAACAGCAGTACCCAAAACCCTAGCTGCAGGAGGAATCACAAAATAGGATACACCGTCCTGACTCTTGCTCCTAACGGCCCACACCCAAGGCTTCAGGCTTCTTGCATGAGAAATCCCCTGCGAGCTAACCATGCCCCTCCACGGAACTTCAAAACTGGCATTTAATTACGGGGCAACACTTGGATTTCAGAATTTTGAATATTATGCTGGGCAAGCATGATGTCAGGGATCATCTATGCTCGCTATATATCCTGCCACAGGAGGATGGTCGGAATATGCGATTAGGCACAAAGGCAGATTTTTTAAAAATTTTTTATTGTTATGTTAATCACCATACTTTACATCATTAGTTTTTGATGCAGTGTTCCATGATTCATTGTTTGTGCATAACACCCAGTGCTCCAGGCAGAACGTGCCCTCTTTAATACCCATCACCAGGCTAACCCTTCCCCCCACCCCCTCCCCTCTAGAAACCTGTTTGTTTTTCAGAGTCCATCGTCTCTCATGGTTCGTCTCCCCCTCCGACTTACTCCCCTTCATTCTTCCCCTCCTGCTATCTTCTTCTTCTTTTTTTTTCTTAACATATATTGCATTATTTGTTTCAGAAGTACAGATCTGTGATTCAACAGTTTTGCACAATTCACAGTGCTCACCATAGCACATACCCTCCCCAATGTCTATCACCCAGCCACCCCATCCCTCCCACCCCCCACCACTCCAGCAACCCTCGGTTTGTTTCCTGAGATTAAGAATTCCTCATATCAGCGAGGTCATATGATACATGTCTTTCTCTGACTGACTTATTTCACTCAGCATAACACCCTCCAGTTCCATCCACGTCGTTGCAAGTGGCAAGATCTCATTCCTTTTGATGGCTGCATAATATTCCATTGTGTATATATACCACATCCACAAAGGCAGATTTTGAGAAGAGAATTGATAATGTAATCCTACTACCTTTTAGAAAACGCACTTACTTGCCTGCTGGGGTGACCACACTGTCTGTCTCTTGTATACACACAGACATGCAGACGCACACGTACACAGTCGCCCTGTGAGCATGCTCTTCAAATGCTTGTCTGGGGTCTCTGGAAACCTCCATCTGTCCCCAGCAGCCCAGATGTCTTATTCAGGTCAACCTTACCTTTGAAGATGAGGAATGCTGTTCTGGGAAGCTCATCAAACCAGTGTTCTCTATTTCTCTTGGCCTGGCCAGGAAACAGGGCCATGGAGAGGGGGGTGTGAGGACCAGTGACCAGAACCTTGCCCTAGGGGCCAGGCTGCCGCTTTCCTGCCCTGCTCCCCTGGCTAACTTGGGGAATAACGAAAACACTCAGGGATGGAAATAAGGACAACGATGCCGCTGTCCACTGAGCCTGTAAATGGAGCCACACACATGCCTTCTTTTTATATAATCCTGAACATAACTGTAGGTAGGCATCATCGTTCTCCCATTTCCCAGGTGAGACAAGCCTTGGGAAGGTTTGGTAACTTGCCTGATGTCCGTGACTAATGGGGTGCTCTTAACCAGGAAGCTACAGTGCAATGGTCAGGGCACAAGGGGGGGCCACCTGTAATCCTGCAGTGCAGGGTGCCAAGCCCAGAGCTGAGCTGTTTCAGCAGGGAAGGAGCTGGGCCTCCGGTGCGCTCAGCCTCATCCCCCCACGCCCCCCCAGCAGCTGGCCCCACTCCCTCTCTGGCTCTCTGGTCTTTGGTCCTGCACCAACACTCACCTTCCACTTCAAGGCAGCGACTTCGTAGATATCATAAAAGTCCTTCAGGCTGTTGTAAGCAACATGAAAAGGTTAAAAAAATCAGAACCTGGTCTCACTGAGCTTCAGGTCTCCCTTGTCCAACTGTGGTCCCCTTCAATGGGGGAGGGGACATCTGAGAGCTTCAGCACCTCAGGGCCCCAGGGACCCTTACCTGGGGGCATTTCATCTCTTCCCTCCAGGTGCCATGCATACTGAATCTGCTTCGTCTACACTGATCACGGACAGCTTTAATCCCCCTGGATGACTATAACTTTTAGATGGACAGGGACAGAGCCTCCTCTAGCAGAGGACTTAATGGAACAGCTGAGTTCAGCCCAAACAGAGCTCAGTTACTCGTGTGTCTATAGGTGGCCCGTTTCCTTCTCCAGAAAGAAGGGTTCTGGTCGTCAGCAGTCTGGAAGACCAAGACTGCCCATGCAGATCTCAGGGCCGGTTCTGGAGGCTCTGCCGGGGCCGTGTGTGTGTGTGTGTGTTTGTGTGTGTGTGTGCGCGCACGCGCGCATGCATGTGTGTATTTATCTGGCTCTGTGGCTCTGCTCACATGGGATTACCCCACCTCATTCAGGGCTGAGAATTCATTTCATTTCATGAGCCAAAGCATTCCTTTTTTGTAAAGCCAGCTTGAATTGGGTTTGGGCTGGACTTCTGTTACTTGTGAAAAGAAACCTGATGAATAATACCATCTACATGTATAAGAATCTCTGTGGGGAAAACTAGTGTCTAACAAGCTTCTTTGCCCAGCCACCTGCTGGGGCCTTTGCCCGCTCCAGCTCCCTCTCACGACTGCCTCTGGCCACCCTGCCCCATCTGGCGTCCACTCTTACCTGAGCAGAGGTGTGTTGCTCTGATTCAGGGCCTTATAAGTCAGATAACGCTCCCTGGCACTCATCCGGGGCCTGTAGAAGCGCATCAGGCCTTCAAACTGCCTGTAGGAGATGCCGGTGGGTCTCTGCGGGGAAAGGGCAGACAGCCGTGTGAACACAGGTAAATGCAGAGCCCAGACTGCCCCTTCCCTGGGGGGCAGCCCCTTGGGACAACAAGGGATCCCAGGTCACCTGGCTCATTCTTGTCCTCCCAGGGGCAGAACTCCTGGTTTCTAAAGCTGCTGGCCCTGCCGCGCTTAGGGGGCTGCTCAGGACAAGTGAGAGGCAGCAGGGACCACTCCCCTGCCGGGCCCGGCCCCCACCCCTCCCTACCCGTTGGCTGATGAGCAGGCGGTAGGCATGCTGGATGGCAGTTCGCTTATGCAGCAGCAGAGACTTGAACTTGCGTTTCTCAATGTCATTGAAGGTGTCAAACACCACGGCCAGAAGCTGTGAGAGAAGAAAAAGGACCTGGCTCCCCTGCAGGGTGGGGCCTCAAGGCATTGGGCAATTCCAGCCACCCCAGAAGGGGGGCTTCAGAAGACCCTCCCACCTGCCCCTCATAGAAGAAGTCTGTCTCCAAACATCAGCAGAGGAAGGCCATCCCCTGCCACTTGCAAATTTTCTCTCTTCGGATACATGACGTCATTATTCTACTTTCCCCAAGTGCTTCACTTGGCCTAAGCTCGCGACTGGCTGGGCAGTGTTCTAAGGGGAAGCGGAGAAAGGAACACACTGGGTTCTACACCCAGTTCAGCCCAGTATCACGGCCGGGGAGCCTGTGTCCACCCCAACCTCCGAGCAGGAAGGAACATCGTTGCACAGGATGCTTCTTCCCATGTCCCCTTGTTCCCTGTGAGTCACAGCTCCACGCATGGCCCCAGAAATCAGGGCGGTGGGGTAGCCTGCCCTGCAGGGCACAACATTCCCCGGGCTGCCTAATTCCAGAGCTGGCGTATTAACGACAATACCGTCTGCATCATCAAAGGGCAACAGGAGGGCCGGAGCAGAATTGAGAGAAGCCTTTTTTGGAAACGCTTTCTTTTTCTCTCAAAAAATATTTTGAGGGACGCTCTCTTGTCTTTTCCATCCCTTCAAATTGGTCCTCCATTTTCCCCCTCTAGATCAAGGGAGGGTCAGCAAACTTTTTCTATAGAGGGACAGATAGCAAATATTTTAGGCTCTGAAGTCCAGATGGTGTCTGTTGAAACTACTCAACCCTGCAGCTGTAGCATGAAATCAGCCACAGATTATGCATAAACAAATGGACGTGGCTGTGTGCCAATAAAACTTTATTTATAGAAATAGGCGGTGGGCTGGCTTTGGCCTGCAGGCTGCAGTTTGCTGACCCATGCGTTAGATTTTCACAGCTCTAAATACATTACAAATTGAAGCAAATCAGTTACACAGAATATATTTTTATGATTCTAAACTGACAACAGCATATAAGAACTATAACACGTGTAAAGATAGCCAACATTTTGGTTTTGAAGAATAAAAAAGGAAAATATTTTCCTTTTCAAGACTTCCAGTTTTAGGACATTTCACAAGTCTACCCCAGGGCAAGTGCTTTCCATTTCTACCCTGGGTCTGACTGTGGTGAGCAGTGTAAGAACGCTTTCCAGAAGTATAAAAATAAACACAAGATTTGGGGCGCCTGGCTGGCTCAGCTGGTAGAGTGTGTGACTCTTGATCTCGGGGCTGGTTGTTAAGTTCCAGCCCCACAGTGGGTGTAGAGATTACTGAAAAATAAAACCTTTTTAAAAAAAATAAAAAATAAACACAAGGGACATCTGGGTGGCTCAGTCCATTAGGCATCTGCCTTTGGCTCAGGTCATGATCCCAAGGTCCTGGGATCAAGCCCCACGTCGGGCTCCCTGCTCAGCGGGAAGCCCGCTTCTCCCTCTGCCTGGCACTCCCCCTGGTTGTCCTCTCTCTCTCTCTGACAAATAAATAAATAAAATCTTAAAAAAAAATAAAATAAATAAAAATAAATGCAAGACTTGATGAAGCCTCTCCGATAGTTCTGGCATGGATGTGTGATCTCGACACGGGGAATCTGCTGATGGCAGGAACCTTCCTGGTGGCCAGTTGGGCCTTGGCAAACACCTCCAAAGTTCCCAGTGTGCACGGGGACTTCACATCCTCCTTAGCAGAGTGTGCCCTGTATTGGCTTTTCTAATGGTTCCTGATTGGTGCAGTGGAAACACACGTGGGTGCAGCAGGACGGAGCAGTCAGGAGCAGGGCTCTGCAATCCGACCAGCTCACCCGGCCACCCCGAGCTGTGCAGCTGTGGGCAAGTCACTCTGCTAGTCTGGCCCTCAGTTTCCTCATTGGTAAGTTGAGAATCGTTAACAGTAGCTCCAGGGTTTTTGTGATAAATCATTTAATCCTCATATACAAAGCACTTGGCCCGGTGCCTGGCCACGGCTTCATTAATGCCAGCTTTTAGAGTTATTTTATTTATTTATTTATTTTGAGAGCGAGAGAGCATGCGTGCATGAGCCAGGGGGAGGGGGGCAGTGTCGGGGGGAGGAGAGAGCATCTCCAGACCCTGAGATCATGACTTGGGCTGAAATCAAGAGTTGGTCGCTCAACCAACTGAGCCGCCCAGGCGCCCCAACCAGCTTTTATAGTTATTCTGACACATGTTTGCTGGAGAAGGAAAGGCCCTAGGGCAGCCTGACCTAACAGGCTGCCTGTAATGCTAATGGCTCGGCAGTACTACCCCAGGGAGGCTGCTACCACTGTAACCAGTGGAACTCAAGTCCCAATAACACGTCTGCCGCCAGGCCACACTTGACCATGGCCTGGGACCCCTTCCCCAAAGGAGGCCGAGAGTGATCCCTACTTCATTCCCTCGGTGCCCGGCACTGTGCTGGTGGGATGGAAGCTCGGGGTGGGGGGAGCACGACGCATGCTCACTCACCAGGTTCATGATGAAGTACAGCTCAATGGAGAGGTAGACGATGAAGAAGACACAGGACCAGGGGTTCCGGGAGTAGGAGGGCATCATCACATCTGGGAAACTGGATTTGCAGAGCATTACTGCAGGGCCCCACGTCTGCTTTCTCCCTCTCTCCATCTTCCCAGAGGACATCTCTCTTTTCTGCCTTCCCAGCCCCACCCCACCTTCCCCTCCTCTCGGTCCATGGGCTTCCATCGGGCCACCCCCATCCCCGGGGACCTGTCTCTGCTCAGGTGTGGAACATTCTTGGCTGAAAAGAGAAGACCCTGGGGCACCAGCAGAGTGCCCAAGCCCAAGCAGAGCCCACACTCACTTGGCTGTGGTCAGAAGGACAAACAGACTGACGATGCTGTTCTCCAGCGTGCTGAAGTACTATAGGGAAAGAAGGCAGAAGAATGCACTGGCACCAGGAACAGGCCACCATAGGCCACCTGGAGCGCCCCACCCCGCCCTGCCCCTCCCCTCCCCTCACCACCCCACCAACTCCCCCTCCTCCCAAGGAATCCTGAGGACAGAGGAATGAGCAAATGTGGAGTCCAGCCGCCTCCACCTTCCTGAACTCTGTGCTTCTGGCAGAAGCAGACAACTGACTGGGACTATTTTCCTAGAGAATCACATGTCTGCACCATCGGCTTGCCTCCCCTCCACTGCTCCTTCACCCAATCTGTTCCAGATCTGATCCTGGAAACATGCGTCTCAAGGGCAGGAAAGGGGATTCCCTTGGTGCTTAAGGAAGGGATCGGTTCAAGTATGGGTGACAGGAACTTTCCAGTGCCATAAATTATGCTGAGAGACCTTCCTAATGTGGCCAGGGGGTCATGCTGGCCACCCTGTCTGAGGGGAAAGGCCCCATATTAAAAAAGAAACAGGGACGCCTGGATGGCTCAGTTGGTTAAGCATATGACTCTTGTTTCAGCTCGGGTCATGATCTCAGGGTCATGGGATCGAGCCCCACGTTGGTGTGGAGTCTGCTTAAGATTCTCTCCCTCTGCCCCCCTCCCATGCATGCACATGCTCGCTCTCTCTAAAAAACAAACAAACAACAAACAAAAAATTTTAAAAAACACAAAGAACAACAACAAAAAAGAAAGACAAATACAGAGATTACTTACGGGGTCTGAAGGATTAGGGGAGAACAAGTAGAAACCTAGAAGGTGGCAAAAAACATAAAAGGTTAGAGCAGAGGTCCCAAACCCAGACATCAAAGTATTGCACAAATAAATGTAGACGAGTGCAGGGGGCAGAGGGAGAGCATCAGGGAGTGGTGGGGACTGCGGCATTCTGGAGAACACTGCGCTCTGTCTGAAGGAGCAGGTGTGCCTGGACACGGCAGAAATGCTGCCATTTGGGAATGTGGCCCAAGAACCATTGAGTCAACTGTTTGAAAAGGCTGGATGTATAGCATGGTGACTAGTTAACAACACTCTATCATATATTTGGAAGTTGCTCAGAGAGTAGATCTTGAAAGTTCTCATCACAGGAAAAAAAAATTTAATTGTGTGTGGCAACGGATGTTAATGAGACTCACTGTGGTGATCACTTCATGGTATACACAAATATCAAGTCATTATGTTGTGCACCTAAAACTAATATGATGTTGTATGTCAATCCCATCTCAATGTTTTTAATTAAAAAAAAAAGATTAAAAAATTTTTCAAGGCTGGAAATCTTTATTTTCAGGCAACAAATCTAATTTTTAAATGTTGGCTCAACATTTTCAGACCAAATGAAACTCATCCAAGGGCTGGATTTGGAATCCAGACTGCTGGTTTGCAATTTTGGTTTTGGGAACATGACAGCCAAGTAACAATTCCAAAGGGATCCCCTTGTTCTCCTATAGCCCAGGGTCCTGGGGTGGGAACACCATCAGTATCCTCCCTCCTGGAACAGGCTATTCCCCTGAGACCTCAAAGTCCTGAGTGGGAAAAGGGAGAAGCTCTGCCCTCAGGGGAGGCAGCCCCCTTGGAGCACAAAGGAAATTCAATAGAGACTGGGGGTTGTAGGGTGAAGGGTAGGAGGCGACTTGGGAGACAATGGCTTAGGACACAGCAGTCAGAAGGGCCCGAGGTGCTGGCCTTAGAGGCAGAGCTCTCTGGTTCCACTGTCTTCACCATCCCAGGACCAGAGAAGGGACCCCAGGCTTCCCAGCCAGGTCCCAGGGTCTCCACTGTCTAAGCCCTGCATCTAGATATGGCTGTCACATAAATACTTGGCCCTATCTGAAGAGGCAAGGCTTCCTCAGGGTTAGAAAGGCCATGATCTTGCTTTTAAACCTCGGGAGGCTGAAGTGGGCACATGCCCTAAAGGAACTCTCATACACAGGAGATGCGCAAACGTTCCCAGCAGTGTGGTATGTAATAGTGAAAACAGAAGAAACTTCCCAGGAGGGCGCACGCAGGCACAATATATAACCATTTATGTAAAATGTTTCAATATGGAAAGCAATCGCACTTATTTGTGGTTTAAGGAAATAGGAAGTATAACTATAAAGATATATGCGTGCAATGGTAAGCCTAAGTCAGGCGGGACCTCTGTGGGGAAAGGGAAATGACCTTGCGGAATGATACAGGGATGGCTTCCATTTTATTCCTAATACTGCATCTCCTAAGTTGAAGGCCATGGGTGTTTAACCACTTGTAAAACCTTTCTGGACTTCTAAAACTGTCAAAGTCAATTTTCTTCAACCGTGATTTTGCTTTTTAGAGGCTGCCTGGGCCCTGGGGTGCAGGGGACTCACCGAGGATGGCAAAAATGACCATGAAGAACAGCAGCAGCAGGAGGATGTCCATGAAGGGCGGCAGAGACTGGAAGATCTGCCGCAGGTTGCTGGGGAGAGAGCGGGGCAGGAAGGGGTGAAGCGGGGAGAGCTGCCCGGGACTCCACGCGTGAGACGGGCCCTGGGGCTCCTGGTTCACACAACACTAAGTCCCGCCGCATCCTAGTCTGTGACATCACGCTTAGCGTTTTCCCGGAGGACTTGCACTCAGGGGATGACGGGGAAGACCAGGGGCAGGTGTGGCACATGCAGCCCCTCCCCCTGCTCGTGGGGCCCCAGCAGACAAGGGCCCTGTGAGTATTGGAGGGAAGGGCCGAAGGCCAAGTGCACGACCTTGGGCACAAACTTCCCTGAGCGGGATGTGGGGTGCATGAAGACATTTCGGGGCCACCCACTCCTGGGACACTCGCTTCCAGCTCTGAGGATGGGCCTGAAGAATGAACTGCCAGCCTGCTCTCATCAACAGTGCCCCAGCCAAGAGATTCTCCAGATGGATTCTTCAGAACTAAGCTTAACTCCAGGCTGGTGGGCAGGCTGAGTCCAGCCCCCCAGGCTCAGTGGGGGTGTCAACCTGCCGAGTCGCTCGGACTCTGTGGAGGTGCCTGCTTCAGGCTGCCGCCGCAGCTGTGTTTAGGCAACTAATGTGCTCAGAGAAAGAAGCCAGCCCCAGAAGGCTGTAGGTAAAATGGCAGAGAGCCCCACAGCTGGGGCCGGGAAACCAAATCGGAGTGGATTCCCGCCTTGTGCTCCGTGTGGGGTGAGCAGTGGAGGGAAACGAGCGTGCTTATATTCTCCCAGCGTGCAGGACTGATCTTATCACTATTTGACTCACTGGGTCCTGCTCCACAGGCCCAGAGGGTCCAGGCCAGGCCACGATAGCGACCGTCTCGTCCCCCAGGCCTTACCGCCGGACGCCCCCGCAGTACCGACAGTCCACCAGGAAAATGCAGCGCAGCGCCCGGGTCACACGCACGTGGGATGTCTGCCGTACCAGCACCACAATGGCCTCGATGAACTGCACCACCAGCACGGAGGTCTGGGGATGGACAGGCACAGAGCACCATCAGTCCCTCGAGCCCAACCCCCCTCCCAAATACCCAGAACAGAGGGCCAGCCAGATCCTGCCCACTCTGGCCTCAAAAGGCCCTTCCCCTCTCTCCAGCTCTCTCTCAGGCCTCCCCAACATCAAGCAGCCCCTGGAGACAAGCCCTGTGGCTGCTGACACAGACATGTAGCCCCAGAAGAAGGAAGCCACAGGCAGAGCTCCCAGCAGTTCGATGGGCAGTATTCCAAGCAAAACTGCCACTCTGCCCAGCCACGTCTGCCCACCCTCTGCCTTCAGCTCTCCCCACACCGCTGGGGCCTGCAGGGCATCCTGATCTGCCATTCCTCGGGCGCATTCTCCTGGACAGGTGTGCGTGCTTTTTACACAGCAAAGTGCACTCTGCCACGTTCCTGCTCGCTGCACAGAGCGCTGTAGTTACTGGCTGCTGATCAGCCTGGGCTTGAAGGCCAGACAGACCTGGTTTTGAATCCGCAGCCTCTGGGATTTACATCCCATTCTTGTCTGGATGGCAGGGTGTAAACTAGGAAGAGTAACACGTCTCCCACAAAGGCTGTCGTGCCAGGGCTTGGCACACACTAGATGCCAAATCACAATGGCTCCTGTTAGCATCACCATGATCTTCAGAGCAAGGCTCCGTAAGGTGAGGACGGGCCCCAGGGTCACGTTTCTGAGCGCAGGGCTCAGCCCATGGGGGACGTGGAATTGAACTGAAGACACAAGCTTGAAGGTGACATGGAAGACAATGCCATACGGAGATGGACCCATCACCTTGACCATGGTCCGTTTGTGCCGGATGAAGGTATGGAGGCCCAGCCATCGCAACTTCATGCAGAGTTCAAACACAACCACCATCAGGGCGAACAGCTCCAGGGTCGCATGGACCTGCAATCAAAGGGTGTAGGGGAGATATCGCATCACCAGCCGCACTGTCTCCCTGACCGGCGGTCATACCAAGCTACCTTTTCCCCCTGAGGCTGGAGATGATGGGTGGCACTGCTAATCAGGTGCACTGCTCACCGGGAGCCAAGGTGTGCCCCATGCTCCTAAGTGAGGCAATCAGATGGCACCCCTCCCTGGAATTTACCAGTGAGCCAAATCATGGGGGGTGGGAGGGGGTGCATTCATTCTAACAGGGACCCCAGACAAGACTGGTGATCCATTGCTGCTCCTGAGTCCTCTGTGAGCCCCCCAGGGCCTCTCCGCTCATAGTATCTGCCCTTCCAGAATGTTCCCTGTCAGGCATGCCATGGGGATGGACACTCACGTAAATGCCGAGCCGGAGCGCGGGGACGGCGGGGGCCTCACACAGGGAGAGCAGCAGCAAGAGCAGGGCTGTGGACAGCTCCATCAGGTAGAAGAGGTGGTTGTGTGCGAAGAGGTAGGCCGCCAGCGCTTTGGCGTTCTTGGGGTGGGTGAAGAACTTGTCATTATTCTCGCCTTCCTGAGGAAACAAGAGCAGGGTGGGCGAATGGGCCTCAGGATGAGACCCCTCAAGGGGCCATGGGAGGCGAGGGGTGGGGAGAAGGAGGCCCCTGGAGAATGAGCGAAGATTCAGGCCAGAGAAGGAAGATGATGGGAGATCAAAACTATTATCTCTGGGGTGCCTGGGTGGCTCAGCCAGTTAAGCGTCTGCCTTCGGCTCAGGTCATGATCCCAGGGTCCTGGGATCGAGTCCTGCATTGGGCTCCCTGCTCCGCGGGGAGCCTGCTTCTCCCTCTCCCTCTGCCTGCCACTCCCCCTGCTTGTACTCTCTCTCTCTCTCAAATAAATAAATAAAATCTTCAAAAAAAAAAAAAGTATTATCTTCACCAAACTGCACCCCTGTCAAGTCTGCTGATGGGGCTCCTTCCTAAAAACCACCTGGAAGAATCAAAGAATAAATAGTCCCAAGAGAACGAACAGAGGCGACACACGTTAGCCCCTCAGCGGCCAAACTGCCCTTCTCAGAAGTGTCCGTGGAAAGTAAGGAGCTGGGGGTCTGGGGTGAGCAAACCCGGCTGAGTCCTGGCTTTCCTGCTCCTCCCAGGAGAACGCTCAGAAAGTTCCTTCCCCTTCAACTACCAAGGGCTAACACATGTACTTACTCATAAGGCTCCCTCAAGACACTTAGGAAAGTGTCTGGCGTACAGCAGACTCCCTGCAGATATTACCTGTTATTATGATTATAAATGATACTAACATTGAGAAGAAAAGGAGCTTGAGAATACCTTTACTATATATATATGTATGTTCCACTTCTTACTTTCTTGACAATTTCACTTCATTTCCTAAGCCCTGCACAATGACAGGCCTTGCCCTGACTCCTGTGCTCCAACAGTAATGGGACAGGGACTGACCCCAGCCGAGTGCCCACCAGACCAGGCACTGTGCTCAGCCCCTTACCTGAGCCCTAGACCCTCCTTTACTCCTGACCATGGCCCTCTCTGGTAGGTGCTTTTATTATCCCATTTGACAGATGAGAAAATCGAGGTACAGAAGCTTCAGTAGCACTGAGCTTACAGAGCCGGGCAGTCTGGGTTCCGCGCCCTGGCTCTGTGATTAGTCTCCTGCTGCTGATGTGGAAACTAAATGATAGAGCCCTGGGAGCGGTCCACTTGTGACTACGAGCAGATGATATTCTAGGGCCACTCTCCCTGTTAGGGTCAGCCTTCTGGTGGTGGTAGCTATGGTGCGGGGGGGATCTTTACTGCCTCCCTGGAATTGGTGGGCACAGGGATGAGGGTCACCCCGCCTCATCCGCTCCATCACATCTGCACTCCATCCAGCAGGCAACGCGGAGTGGAAACTCACTCGGTAATGCTCTGCATGCATTGCCTTGCTTCAGCGCTTTGGAACTGGGAGCAATGCTGCCCCCCCACCGCCTCCCCTACCCCAACCTGGCCTGGAGACATCTGCTCATCACCCCTGGGGGTGCTGCTGGCAACTAGCGTGCAAATCCCAGGGGTGCCACACAACATCCTAAAATGCACAGGAGAGGCCCCCACCACAAAGAGTTATCCGGCCCCAAGTGTCAGCAGTGCTGAGCTGAGAGCACCTGGCTCGTTCACTTCCAGCACAGACACTCAGCATAGACTCTTCCCACTGGCTTCATTTCCTGGAGGGAAAAGTGGTGGAGCCAGAATGGACACCCAGGTCTCCTGACCCAGAGCCCTCTGGAAGCATTCCAGCTGTCCTGGAATGAGGTCAGACCTTCAACTCTTCCAGCTATTCAGCTCTTCTGGGATGAAGGCCACCCTCCCCATGCTCACAACCCTTATTCCAGGGAGGTGAGACTAACCCACACCACAGCGATTCCGGCCAAAGCCGCAGGCTGCAGGAAGGAGGGCTCAGGGCCCAGAGGGGCCCATTGTGCTATCTTTGGAAAGCACTCTGGCCTGGCAAGGGACTTTGTCAACTCTCACCCAGCACGATGCCTGGTACACACAGTAGGTGTTTAATGGATGTTTGGTAGGATGAACCACCCCTGCCAGAGATCACTTCCCCAGGCCCCAGCTTGCCCGGGGACTGCCCAGTAGCTGCGGGGCGGGGAGCTCTGACCTCGGCTGTGGTTTGCAGGGTAGCTTTCAGCGAGTCACTTCCCTGAAGCCAGACACATCACTACCCTCCTTACCAAAAAATAAAGACAAACCACAGACTCGACAGGGGCAGGCCAGACAAAGGGAACAAACATCCCGGCAGTCAAATGGCAGGCACGTTCGGCAAGCCTCGCTAGAGGTCCTGTGATCTGTGCAGGGCTGTGGTTTGTACCAGCACCACTGTGGCTGGGGGGGACATGCAGGGGGGCCCGGGAAGCTTCGGGCTTGGATTACTAGAAAATGCAATTCTCGGGTAATGTCTTCCAGTAAATAGCCAGGAATGAAGGTCTGGCTAGCGGAAACCACTGACAGGAGGGCTCGGGTTTTACCGCTAGGATGAGGAATTTCCAGGCAAGACAGAAGATAAGGTCTCTAGTGCCAAGGATAGAGTGAAATATTACTCATGGCACTGGATTCTGATCCAAACCCCAAGGAGAACACTGGCCTTGTTTCCTCGCTGCTGATCACGAACTACATTAGGAGAAATAAGAAGACAGGCCAGTGTCTATGACTTCTGGCTTCACTCTCTGCTCTCTGGGGCAGAAATTCCACCCAGGGAACCAGTACTGCCTCAGAGGCACGAGGACTGTGGAGCAGAGCAGAGCACACAACGCCCGAGGATGAGCGAGTCAACAGGTAAAATTGGGGAAGAGGGGAAACCACAGGCACCAGGTACCCTTCAAGTGGCAAGGGGCCGATTACCCAAGCACACCAACCACCTGGTTCAGGGGCCACGCTGCAGCTCAGCCACAGAGCAGGAAAAAGAAGACTATCTGACACCAGAAACAGCCCCGCTACTATTCCTAGGCATCCAGGTTCTACTTTTATTTTTATTATTTTTAAAAAACGATGCATCGTTGGTAAGATAATTCAAATAACACAGAAGATTATAAGGCAGTAAAAATTCTGTCAGCCAAAGATAATCACCTTTAATATTTAGATGAATAACTTTGCAGATGTAAGTGGGGATCTGTGGGCACGTGCGCGCGCACACACAGATATATATATGTTGCTATATACGTGTATGAACCTAAGCGTGTGTGGGTGTATGTATCAATGTTATACAAAAATTATCACACTACACCTGCAGTTCTGTAGCCTTTTTCCACAACCACATGGCCCATTTTTGAATGGATACAAATGGTCAGTTATAGAAATGAAGCAACAACGTACAGATGAAAGCGCGTCGTTTAGAGGCGAGCTGGACATGGTTTAAATCCACGCTCTGTGACTTACTAGCTGGGTGGCCTTGGACTCCTTTAGCTCCCTGAGTGTCAGTTGCTAGTCTGTAAATAGGAGATAATCAAGCCACCTTGGGGGGGTTGTTAGAATGGGGCCCACTTAAAAAACAGATGTTTTTATTACTAATGTTCTCAGCCGCTCAAGGAAAGAAGAGATTACGAGATTTCTGAAGTCCCCCAGGCCATCCTAACTCTGTGTTTTGACCCATCCCGTGCTCTTCTCCAGCATCTAGTAAACCTTGGAGAAGGTGACGGTGCACAGGGATCCCTGGGGGATCAACAGGCATGCCTGAGCTTGCCGAAATGTCCCTGAAACATTTCTATTGCCTCAACCTGGATCGGAATGCACCTGCTGAGGGGTACAACTCCTGTGACGCTGCATAAAACATGAGAAGCATAAAGACAACTGAACGACTACTGAATAAATACCCAAACGCAATGAAATCTTTCAAAAGAAGTAACAAAACACATACTTGCAATGTGAGAGTTGCTTCAAAGAGAAAAGATTAGGGAAAATTATGATTCGAATGAGTTTCAGAAAGATTCCATTTCCTCACCTAGACTCTTACTCTGTGCACACAAGAAACAGAAATCTTACAGTGACAAGAAGGGCAAGATTAAAATGGTGGTGCCACAGACGGGGAGACAGGCAGTTAAGAGGCAATATCCCTTTTGGAGAACACTCGGTAACTGTACATCAAGGGCCCTAAAAATGTTGATTCCTCCCATCTGGTAATTCCACTTCCTAGAGGCTTGCCTAATAAAACAATCCTGGACATTAAAGAGAGAAAGAGAAATAGCTCTTTGCATGGATGGTCCTCGGATTATAATTTATAATAGGGAAATGCATGATATATAATAAGGGAAGCATAAAAAGGGAAAATATTCAGCCTTATCAGGATAGTTTAAGTAAATCAGGATACATTTACCAGATATAATTATGAAGTCATTAAAATTTGTTTATAGGAGTTATAATAACCTAAAAAAAAAAGCTTCTGTTACACACTATGGGAAAGAAAAGACTATACAACTGTAGATACCACGTGACTTTAAAATTACTTTACAAACACATAAAACCTATGTATTATTCTTCAGTAATGTTTTTTTTTTTGTTTTTTTGTTTTGTTTTGTTTTTTTCTTTTCTTCAGTAATGTTGACAGTGACTTAGGTGAATGTTTTTTTCCATAGCCCCTTTGTGCTTAAACTTACTGCAATGAGCATGTATTACTTCTTATATTTTAGAAAGTATTTTTTTTTTGAAAGGGAAAAATAAACCCAAAAAACAACCAAGTACCAAGCAAGGAACAGCAAACATGAAAGCAAGAGCAAATTAACAGGAAAGGAATAAAGGTGTCTAAGTTCCCCTGGCTGACAAACCCCTGCTACAGTGTAATGTATTTAGAGAAACTCCCCCTCAAGAACTGGATGCCAGTGTGCCCCTGAGAAGGGGGACCAGGGCAGAGAAGGCCAAGTGGATAGACTCAGGGAGACTCGGGGGCAGGCAGGGCCACATCCTGGGGGGGTCACAAGAAAGCACACGCACATCGCCCTCCCCAACTGGGCACAATCACGTTGGCTCTCCCCATCTTACAGATGAGAAGCTCACACACGGAGCAGAGACAGGAACCAGAGTCAGAACTGAATTTCTGGGGATGTAACAGAGCCCTGGCTATGCGACTTGGCCAACAGGCACCGGAAACAGAGATCCCGATTGGAGATACTCACCTGGAGGTAGATTGCTGCCTCTTGATAATTGATCTCCCAGTTGTGACCGGTGGGACTCTCACCCCCTGAGCCTAGACTGGGGGTCCGGGAGTCGTGGATGGCATAGGTGCCTCCATCTGCATAGGAAGAAGAGAGAGATTCACTTACAACCTTGGCTCAAGAGGATAAAGACACCATTCACCAGAAGAAAAGGCTCATATGCTCATACATATATCCCATTATCTACAAGTCAATGCTCGATCCCATGGAATAATAGCAAGGATTAGCGTGGCTAATTAAAACTTCTTTTCATTCTCTCGTTAAATGAAAAAAGCAAGTGCAAAAGAACACATATAATACGCTATCTTTTGTGTAAAAAAAAAAGGAGGAAACAAGAAAACATACAGATATCTATCTTTACAAAAAGAAACAAAAAGGATAAATTTACTTACAAGGGGTGTGGGGAGCAGCATGGAAGTGTCACTCAGAGGGGGTGATCTTTTTGAACACTTTTTTAAAAAGATTTATTTATTTATTTTAGAGAGAGAGCGAGTGAGCGAGCAGGAGGGGCCGAGGGAGAGGGAGAGAGAGAGAATCTCAAGCAGACTCTGCACTGAGCATGGAGCCTGCTGACGCAGGATCAGATCATGACCTGAGCCGAAATCAAAAGTCAGACACGTAACCGACTGAGCCACCCAGGTGCCCCTTTTTTGTACACTTTTGACTTTTGGAAGCATGTTAATATTCTACTTGGTTAAAACATAAAAAGAATTGGATTTGTTCCCTGGTGCAGGGTCACCTGTATTTTTTTTCCCCTGCTGACGCCCATGCCTCTTTACTTCCACAACACAGAACCCATCTGCCTTTGGAGGACATCCTCTCCCTACCCTCCACCTATTCTTTGTCTCTGGCTGACTCCACCCCTGGCTCCACGGCAGGTGCAATAAAAGCACCTCACTTCCCTGGACAGGGACCGGTCCAGGCAGGGGTGCTGTCCCAAGCCTAGCCAGTCAGGGCTGAACTTGGACTTTCCCTGGACCACTGGGGAAGGAGGGGCTCTTTCCCTGTTGCTGTGGGTCGCTGCCTCCACCCCACCATGTGAGGGAAGCCTGCCTGAGAAGGAAGCCAATGGGGAACAAAAGAATCACAGAGATAACAGTAGTTTCACCCTGGGATTGAGATATGCCTGATAGCTACCTCCTAGCATTTCCAAAATCTGAGCCTATAAAGGTTCTTTTATACTTAAAGCCTGTCTGAATTGGGTTTGTCACAACGCTCAAGTGTGTCTACTGATACATGGTAAGCAAAGGTACCGAGAAATGACTTTCAACTTAATTTATTGGGTAGTTTTATCATCATCTAAGATGAGAATCTGGTTGCCCACAATTCACACTCAAACTGATCCACCTCCAAAAAAAATAAAGAATGAAATATGTTTGGATAAGGAGATATGCAAGGATGGCAGGAAGCAGATGTGTAAAGCTCACCAAATAGACAGGAAAGGGGAGGAAACTGGCAGGGGTCCTATGGCTGCAGGGTCATACCTGGTCCTTCTAAGCTTGAACTGCCAGCCAAGGGCAGTCGGGTCCTGCAAAGCTCTCCTCCACTTCTAAAAACAACTTTATGTAGATATATTTGACACACAGTAAAATGCAGAATCCAACTTATTCTGATACATGCACACACTTGTGAAACCATCACTATAATCAAGATCACACATCCATCACCCCTTCATGCCCACCCCTGCCCATCCATGCCCAGGCAACCACTGATCTGCACTCTGTCACCATTAGATGGATCTGCATCTCAGAATTTTACATAGATAGAATCACGGAGTATGCATGCTTTTTTGGTTTGGCTTCTCTCCCTCAGCGTAACTACTTTGAAATTCATCCATGTTGTATGGTGTACTGGTAGCTCATTCTGGTGTTTTGGCTGAGTAGTATTCTATGGTATGGATGTACCTCGGTTCATCCAATCACCTGTTGGTAGACACTGAGATTGCTTCCAGTTTGGGGCTATTTCAAATGAAGTTGTTATGAACATGCATGCACAGGGCTTTGCATGGACACATGCTTTCAATTCTTTTGCGTAAATACCTAGGGGTGAAATAGCTAGATCATATGTTTAACTTTTTAAGAAACTGCCAGACTGTTTTCCAAATGACTTGCAGTGCAGGGGAGTCCCCATTCCTCCACAACATCACCCATACCTCACATACTCAGTCTTCTTAATCTTGACCGTTCTAATACTTTTAATATGCATTAGGACTAATAATCTTGAGCATCTTTCCATATGCCTATTTGCCATTTGCTTGTTTTAGTTGAAGCATCTTCAAATCTTTTGTTTCTTTTTTGGGTTATTTTCTTATTTTTGAATTTTGAGATTGTGTATATATTATATATATATAATATACATATACACACATACATATACATGTATCCTCTAAATATACACAAGTCTTTATCTATTATTAATATATTTACTCTAGCTTTTATTTCTTTTTTTAATTTAATTTTATTATGTTATGTTAGTCACCATATAATACATCATTAGTTTTTGATGTAGTGTTCCATGATTCATTGTTTTCATATAACACCCAGTGCTCCATGCAGTATGTGCCCTCCTTAATACCCATCACCAGGCTAGCCCCTCCCCTCTAAAACACTCAGTTTGTTTCTCAGAGTCCACAGTCTCTCTGATTATTTCTCCTGATTAGTGATTAGTGTGGCTTTTTCTATTCCTTTACTTTTAATCTCTTAGTGTCTTTATATTTAAACTGTGTTTCTTGGAGGCAGCATATGGTTTGATCTTGCTTCCCCCCGGGGTCTGAAAAATCTCTGTCTTTTAATTGGAGTACTTAGATTATTCATATTTAATGTAATTATTGATAGAGTTAGATTTAAATATATTGTCTTGCTATTTTTTATAGTTGTCCCATCTGTTCTTTGTTCCCTTTTTCTGTCTTCTTTTGGATCACTGAATATTTATTATGATTCCATTTTATCTCCTTTGTTGGCTTAGCTACAATGCTTTCTTCTGTTATTTAGAGGTTGCTTTAGGGTTTACGGTACACATTTTTAATTTACCACAGTCTATTTTCAAGTGATATTGTGTCACCTCATGCATAGGATAAGAACCTTTTCCTTATAACAGTACACTTCCCTCTCTCCCCTCCCAACCTTCAGGGCTTCTGGAAACACACGGATTTCCAGTTCACAGACCTACTCCAGATTGAGCTTCATCTCCATTGCTAGGATGTGTAACTGGGAGAATCTTTCTGGAAGGGACTGCACCAATGGAAGCACATAAGAAAAGTAAGGAGTTAACACCACTTGTGAGCTCTGTGCTTTGTGCTCCATGTTGATGTAATCCTTACAATCCCAAACAGTATGTACTATCATAAATGCTACTGTATGAGGAGGTTAAGCAATTCACCCAAGGTCACACAGCTCTAAGGGGCCAAGCCGGGGTTTGACCCCAGGAAGCCCGGATCCAGAACAGATGCATTTAACCATTATGCTCTACGACCACCCCTTAAGAGAGAAGAGTCTGGGAGGAAGGACAGCTGACAATAGTTTTAAACCAATGGTAACAAACATTTATTGAGGCTTACTGCATGAGAAAACTTAGGCTGTGGCAGATTGTATTTTCCAAATCCAGCCACAGCATGATCTTTCATCCTACGTGCTCTTCTAGAACCTTGCCACTTCCTCACAAACAGGTGGAGCGTCTCCCTCTTGAAACCAGGTGAGACTCTGTGCCTATCTTGACCAACGCAGGATGGAGGATATAATGCTAATGACTTCTGAGGCTAGGTCATAAGTACATCCCCACCTTTTTCTACTGGGACCCTTGCTCCTGGAACCTAGCCACCATGTTGTGTGGTGGAGAGGCCCGTGGAGAAGAAGCAAGGCCCCCTGTCCACAGCCTAGCTGAGCCCACAGCCCACAGCCTGCAACTTGCCCGTCAGGTGAATGACCCATCTCAAAACCAAATCCTCTAGCCCCGGACAAGTGTCCAAACTGACACCACATGACGCAGAGATAAGCCCCTCCATCAGACCCTGCCCAAACTGCAGGCTCTTGCACATAGTATCTCAAGGCAGTATCTGCTATCTTCAGGCACTATGTTTTAGGATGCTCTGCTGTATAATGATAGATAACACATATCTAAGTGCTTTATACCCACTGACCCACATAATGCTCCCGACAACCCTGCAGAAAGGCCAGGTACCCTCCTGAGGCCAAGCAGCGAGTGGGAAGCAGGGCTGGGATACTGAACTGGGTGATTAGTTCCTCATCAGCAGGCTACGTGCCCCTTCCATTTCTTCTTGAGAAATGGAAGCCTTGAAAGGGTGTCAGGGTAGTGCCAAAAAGATGAAATATACAGCAGCAGTTCCATCCCTCAACGAAGTTACAAACAGGAGGTGGCACATCTGGCTGCAGCTCGCCCTTGACCGTTCTGGTCCTTCTCTACCGGAGGTTTTCCCGACTCCGCTCCCAGTGTCCATTTCTGGAAGAACTAAGCCCTAGGCGCGGACAGGAGAAGGTCAAACTGCCTTCCTGGATGTGCTGGTGTGGACCAGGGAAGCAGGAGCCAAAATGTGCCTCCCCAGTAGGCGAAGCCGCCGGTAGGCAGCTGGACGGTGCTGTGACCTCGCGTGCCTGCGCCTGCCGTCCACGACCTTCACACGCTGCGGCAGTCCTAGGTGAAAGAAATCACGGGGCCAGTGTGGGGTGGGCGGCGATGAGCCGGCACAGATGGCAGCGGACATTAGTGCCACTTTCCCAGCCGGTACTAGACGCTGGCATCTGTGTGAGCCCCTGCCTCAGAGACCCTCTGTGCGAACCTTCCCAGCCCTTCCTCCCTCTCGGGGCTCTCGGCAGATGGATCCAGCTTCTTCCTCCCACGCAGGAGCTCCCTCAGCCCTCCTAGTTTCTCCCCTCTGGCCTTCATCACTTCCACTGCACACCACTGTGCCCAGGGGGGCTATGACATCCCCCCTGCGCGGGCTGCTCCTTGCCACCCACTCACACTCACACCAGTGGGTTTTTATCTGGAAGCAGGTGCCCCGTGGCATCTTCCCCTCAAAGCCCCAAACAACAGCTCCTTCCCATTTCTGAAATCCACAGGG